TTCATAAAAAAGAATGGCCAACATAGATACAAGTATCTTGTCTTAGGTAGGGATAAATCGTACTTTGTAAAAAATCACTCTGATTCAAACGAAAAATTCTCTGAAACTGAAATTATCAAGATGCTTGATTTCCTGATTGACATATTTGTTACGTTTCGAGGAAGCGTTTTTTCAACAAATAATCGGCATTCCCATGGGAACTAACTGTGCTCCTCTACTTGCCGACTTGTTCCTTTAAATTTATTCATATGAGGCTGCTTCATACAGGAACTTCTTAGGAAGAAAGAAAAGAAGATAGCAGTATCCTTTAACTTTACTTTCCGCTATATAGATGATGTTCTCTCACTAAATAATTCAAAATTTGGTGACTATGTTGAACGCATCTATCCCCCTGAACTTGTGATAAAGGATAGAACAGATACAGTTAGGTCTACCTCATATCTTGGCTGACATCTAAAAATTGACACTGAGGGTCGGTTGAAAACAAAACTTTACGACAAAAAAGATGCGTTCAGCTTCCCAATTGTGAACTTTCCATTTCTATGTAACAACATTCCGGCAGCGCCTGCATACGGAGTATATATCTCCCAGTTGATACGATATTCCAGGGCTTGTATTTTCTATCATGATTTCCTTGATAGATGGTTGCTGCTCATAAGGAAGCTATTAAACTAAGAGTTCCAATTGGTGAAGTTGAAATCATCCCTTCGTTAGTTTTACGACGCCATCACGAGTTGGTTGACCGTTATGGAATACCCGTTTCACAGATGATAGCGGATATGTTCCTAATGTCGAAGCTACAATCCCGTCCCCTTTTCCCAAATGTGACCTACCGAATTAGACTTATTTCCGGGTTTGTACTAACATGAGCAACACGACGGGTGCCACATGGTGAGTAGGATCTGCTTACCCTTCCAAAGTACCTGAGATCACCCCAGTTAGGTGGGGTTCGTGTTGCTCAGTCTTTAGTTTTCTATGTTGTGTTTTGTGTACCATAGTTTGTCTCTTGGTCTTTTTCTTTTTTAGCCATGGCGTTGTCAGTTTGACTTATGAGTTTATGAGTTTTACTCCGTATGCAGGCGCTGCTGGAATGTTGCTACATAGAAATGGAAAGTTCACAATTGGGAAGCTGGAATCATCTCTTTTGTCGTAAAGTTTTGTATCCAACCCTCATTGTCAATTTCTAGATGTCAGTCAAGATATGAGGCAGACTTAACTGCATCTGTTGTATCCTTCACCTCAAGTTCGATTGGATAGATTCGTTCAACATAATCACCAAATTTTGAATAATCTAGTGAAAGAAAATCATCTATATGGATAATACTAACTTCTTTTCTTCCTTCCTAAGAAGTTACTGTATGAGTCAGCCTCATATGAATAAAGGAACAAGTCGGCAAGAAGAGGAGCACAGTTGGTTTCCATGGAAATGCCGATTGTTTGTTAAAAAAACACGTCCTCCAAACGTAACAAATATGTTGTAAAATGAGAAATCAAGCATCTTGATAATGCCAATCTCAGAGAATTTTTTGTTTGAATCAGAGTGATTTTTTACAAAGTTCATCCCTCCCTAAGACAAGATACTCGTTGACCATTCTTTTTTATGAAACAAAGAAGGACCAACTCTTTCAATTTGTCTTTTAGTCAGGAATTGGGAATACTTGTGTAAATTGTAGAAAAGTCAAATGTTTTAATACTATTGTAAGATGAAAGAGTCTTAGATTGTATGTACTCCAATAGACCTATGGAATTTTTTAGTATCGACATCTGATTCACACGGCCCCTAGAATAGGTAGTTCACAATAACTTTGAAGCCCGACTTTGATTGCTCATAGAATTGATGTTACTAATTTAGAAAGAGGTTTCGTAGAGCACTTTGAAGACCCAGCAATATAACGTTGCTTGTAAGGACACTTATGTAGTTAAGGTATCCAATACAGTGAAGGAATATCCACTTTGGTTGAAATTCGAAAGGAACATAGAACAGACCTATGATTATCCAGGATTTCCTCCTTGGTAAGTGTCATGGAGTATATGTTGAGTTTCAAAGTGAATTGTCAATACCTAATTCATTTATCAGGCAGTTTATGTAATGATATTTACACACAAGCATGAATACTTGTCATGGAGGTAGGACATGTGTTTTGCAACATTTGGGTCTTTAAAGGTTGGTGTAGCATGGGTTTTCATAGACCCATTCAGTTTTTTTTAATTATGATTTGTATCAACGACCTCACAGCCTTAATCCATTTTGAAAGAGTATCTGCGTCTTCTTTCTTGCGTTTAACCCATTGCCATAACCCTTAAGCAATTTCCTGTGTGCATCGGTCACAACTTGTAAAAAATTCTCTTACCTGTAATTAACCTTGCACTTAATCTGTAACTTCTTATGATATGAGTACTTATCATTTGATTCAGCCATTATAAAACTAGATGCTCTGAAGAGTCTGTGTTGCTCACCAGGTCTACAGGCATCTTCAACAATACTCTCCTAAAATGTGGACGAAGTTTTTATCCATCTATTACAGTTGTTATGATATTAGGCAAAAACGCATAGAATTGGTAAAGATCGTCATTAAAGGGTAATAACGCCAATACGGAGATGTACGATGACGATTACGGCCATATTAAATTATTTGTAGATCTTGTCTTGCTATTTTCGGGGTCCCTCTATTATAAAACCAGGTTCAACCCACCATTTTTTTCTTAAAATGTCCTGTACCTAGTCAGGAATATGGCAGTTGTTATCACATAGTCCGTTTCTATGTATGTTGGCTTTTGTTTTTGTAGCAGTTCAGTGTTTCTGTTGTTCCGTTTTGTTTCCTCTTATAGTTGATGTGTTTTTGATTTGTGACCCGAATTTGTTTCAGTTAGATCGATTTATGACTATTGAACAGCGGTATACTACTATTGCCTTTATTTATACTTTTCAAGATAAGTAAAAACACCAAAAATGGATAAAAATCGTCACTGAAGGACAATAACTCCAAAAAGGAATCGTCTGACAATTTTGGGCACTACAATATATTTTCCGATCTTGTCTTGCTGAACATTTTTGCTATATAAAGTTTTTCTTTATCTACTCAAGTTTTCAAGATAAAAGGCAAACATGAAAAAAATGGTAAAAATTCGTCATTTAAGGGCCATACCTCCCGGAAGAAGACTTCTGAGAGTTTGATTTTAATAAAAAAAAAATGGTAGATCTCAACATTCTGAATATTTTTGCCCAGTCAGATTTTCTGTAGTAACAGCAGTTTTCTAGATAATAGACAAAACTTGTATTTTACCACTATGTTCTGTATAGCCATGTAGGCCATGTTGTTTGCCAAGCAGGGTCAGCAGATACAATTTTTAAACTAAATACCTTAATGATGATGGTGGCCAAATTTGTTTAAATTCGCCCAATAGTTTCAGAGCAGAAGATTTCTCTAAAAGAAAACGGACGACGATGATGGGCCTGTGAGCTAAAAAAGAAGGTTGAAATTTTAATTGTGAGGAACTGATGGACTAACACATGATGTATGGAATGCAAACCTACAAGAATGGACTTATTTAAGTGATCTTTCCAATCAAAAAACATATGCATGTGATCTCGTTCTACTTTACCCGAAGGGCCACGTGAGCTTCTCTCATCACTTGGCGTCCGTCGTCCGTCGTCGTCATCGACTTAACTTTTTACATTTTGAACTTCTTCTAGAGAACCACTGAATGCAATGAAACCAAGCATGGCATGAATGTTCCTTATAAAGTGCTGACCAAGTGTTGTTACTTTGTAGCCAATCAATCATCCAAGATGGCTGCCAGCGGGAAACTTAGTTTTACAAAGGACCCTATGTGAAATACATAAAAAAGTTTTCTTTTGAAGAACTAGTGAATGGAATGAAACCAAACATGGTATGAATGTTTCTTTTGAGGTGCTGACCAAGTGTTGTTACTTTGTAGCTGATTTGTCATCCAAGATGACTGCCAGCAGGGGGAGTAAGTTTAACATAAGACCCTATGGGAAATACATACAAATCTTTACTTCTAGGGAACCACTGAAAAGAATGAAACCAAACATGGCTTGAATGTTCCTAATGAAGTGCTGACCAAGTTTTATTGCTTTGTAGCCGAACCATCATCCAAGATGGCCGCCAGCAGGAGGTTTAGTTTAACATAAAACCCTATTGGAAATACATACAAATGCTTCTTCTAGAGAGCACTGAATGGAATGAAACCAAATATGGTATATAAATGTTCCTTATGAGGTGCTGATGAAGACCTTAATACATGTATCTTTATAGATTGAGATATACTGTAAACTGCAAAAATATCAAGAAAAGAAGATCTACACATAAGTCAACATGAGCAAAATTGTCAATTGACATCTTGTTGGAGTTATTGTCCTTATAAAGTAATTTTCTACAATTTCAGTGAATTTATTGGTTATTTCTGTAAACTTTACAAAAGGCTTCTGCTTTTGATTAAATTACGGGGCCAATATTAAACCAAATTTGGCCTCAATCATTATTAGGGCAGCTGTTATGATTTTAATCTATTTTTACATGATTTCCAAAACAAAAGTAGAATCAGGTGAGCAACACAGGCTCTTGAGAGCCTCTAGGGTATCTGTTATGATTTTAATCTATTTTTACATGATTTCCAAAACCAAAGTAGAATCAGGTGAGCGACACAGGCTCTTGGGTATCTGTTATGATTTTAATCTATTTTTACATGATTTCCAAAACCAAAGTAAAATCAGGTGAGAGACACAGGCTCTTAAGAGCCTCTAGTTATTAGTGTCATTTGGTTGCTGTCTCATTGACATTTACCCAAAATCTGTTTTTATTCAAACTTGTTCCTAGTTGGTCAAGGGATTAAAAAAAAAAGTATAAGGAGTTAATGAAAAAGTATGTCAAATGATGCCATTAGCTCACTCTGGACTTTTGGATCGATCAGAGGAGATGACTTCTAATGAAGACAACATATAAATTCTGTGCATTTCACTTCGTGAGATAAGAAAATATCTGAACACATTTTAATAAGAATATTTTCTGTCAACAAATATGCTTATAAATTAAATATATAACTTATTTTCAAAGAAATTATTCCAGAGATATAAATATGTTATCATAATGCCTATAAAATATTAATCCACTAAGATTCTATCTATGAATCTTGCATTTGTGTAAAAAGAATCATGATTGGGGGGCAGGGGGGATCCAGAAGAACTGTAGATACATTTTGTCAAATTGTGTCTACAATACTATGAATGTAATTGTTCATTTTTACCTGATTAGGTATTTGCACAAATTTAGGCTTCAGATATTTTTGAACCCTTTAAAAAAAGTTCAACCAGGCTTCATCATACAAGGCAGCATGTCCGTCTGGAGAGTATCAGTAATTCACCTTTAAATCATACTGTCAAGAAACCTAGAACAAATATGTAATTGATATGAAAAAGCATAGAATGGGCTCTTTAGAATATCATCCAAACAGTTAACGCAGGACTTCCTCTATCCGGATGGTCTAGGAGACATCTGCTATTATTCTGTGCAGAATATCTTCTAAAAACATGCTAAATTTGCCTTTTATGTTGTTTGAAGGTTATCGACTCAATCTTAATCAAGACTTTTACCTCCTGACAAAGAAAAACATACATAAAAATAAACACAACCTGAAAATTTAAAACGTAAATAAACAAGAGGCTCTCAAGAGCCTGAATCGCTCACCTTTAATTTTTTGCTTAAATCTTTCATCAATGATTATTTTTGCTTTTCAAAATAAAGTAATGAGTGGCTTAAAAATGCCATTTAAATGTTCTTTGTATCTGTCATATTTTCTTCAAAAGCAAAAAAATGCATTTTATCCCTATGTTCCATTTTAGCCATAGTGGCTATGTTTCTTGACATACAAGGAAATTAAATACAAAATTTATACTAGATACCCTGAAACTCAGTCAGCCCAAGTATGGCTGAAATTGATTCAGCAGTTTCATAGGAGAAGATTTTTTAAAGTAAGCAAACTAGATGAGCAAATTGTGAAAATTGTCTTTAAAGGGCAATAACTCCTTAAGGGGTCAATTGACAATTTTGGTCATATAAAAACTTATTTGTAGATCTTACTTTGCTGAACATTTTTATTGTTTACAGTTTATCTTTATCTATAATAATTTTCAAGATAATAACTGAAAACTGCAAAATTTCCTTAAAATCATCAATTCAGGTGCAATAACCTAAAAATTAGATACCCGATTTGGCTGATAATTTCAGGGCAGGTAGACTTTGACTTAATGAATACTATGACTTCTTGTCTGATTTGCCCTAAATGCTTTAGTTTTTGAGATATAAGTCAAAAACTGCATTTTACCCTATGTTCTATTTTTAGCCATGGTAGCCATATTTTTTGAGGAAACAGAAAATAAAACACAAACTTAATTCTAGATAACCTAACAATCATTCAGCTTAAGTTTGGTTTAATTTGGTTCAGTAGTTTCAGAGGAGAAGATTTCTTAAAGTTAGAAAACATGATAAACAAACTGTGTAAAATTGTATTCAAAGGTCAATAACTCCTTAAGGGGTCAATTGACAATTTTGGTCATATAAAAACTTATTTGTAGATCTTACTTTGCTGAACATTTTTGCTGTTTACAGTTTATCTTTATCTATAATAATATTCAAGATAATAACCAAAAACTGCAAAATTTCCTTAAAATTACCAATTTAGTGGCAGCAACCCAACAATGGGTTGTTAGATTCATCTAAAAATTTCAGGGCTGATAAAACTTGACCTAATGATCATTTAGACCCCCGTGTCAGATTTGTTCTAAATGCTTTAGTTTTTGAGATATAAGCCAAAAACTGCATTTTACCCCTATGTTCTATTTTTAGCCATGGCGGCCATGATTTTTGATGAAACAGAAATAAAACACAAACTTTATTCTAGATACCCTAAGGATCATTCAGCTTAAGTTTGGTTGGAATAGGTTCAGTAATTTCAGAGGAGAAGATCTTTGAAATAGTTTACACCGGACGGACGACGACAGATGCAAAGTGATGGCAAAAGCTCAAATTTCCTTTTAGGAAAGGTGAGCTAAAAAAGTAGTTGTATAAAAATAAAACATTTGAAAGACATGTGATTTGGATACATTGATATCATCATAAAAAATAAACAGGGAGATATCGTTAACATAATACATTAATTACTCTTAGGTTCAGAATGGAAAAACACAAACAAAATAATGTTGTTTGATGTCAAAATAAAAACTATTTGTATGGCACTAGAAAATGGTAATAGACTGCCTCTTTTTATGCCATTTTCAATCACAGAAAAATAATATAAACATCCACTAATTACAGCTTTATATAAGAACATATATTGTATATTACTGCACAACACAATTTAATCATAAGGTAGTTTACATCGATATATGAATACATACTGTACAAATTAAGTTACTGTGGTATATTCATTTCATGTTTTCTCCAATTTACTAGCCTTTTAAAAGGTGTATGTTGATCAGACACAATGAAAAAACATAAACACTATTCATTACTTATACATTGGTGCACTTACAAAATTTATTATAGTTGAAATAGCAGGAAGGGAAAGCAGGAGATCTTTGGACTTGCATGGTACTTGATGTCTCCAATATGACAATTTTGACAGAAAATAGGAGTTTATAATTTACATATTTGTAACGCTAGATCAGAAAATTATTTTTTTCAACCTATTCACTAGGGATACTTCCAGGAAAATCCAAGATTTTAAATAAACATTTTCTATTCTTCATAACTGACATATGAATGATTAATTGGTACTTTTATCAAATTCAGGTATAGGACAATATCTAAACTATTATAGGCTTTTGATTCCTAATACAGCCTAGAAGATATGCTAAAACTCCCAACTGGGGTTACAGAAAATGGTGTCAAATTCTATGGATTCACTAACTTTAACCTGAGACCCATGAATATTGTATCAGTCCCAGCTTTAAACCAAGTTATGTGTAAATTAACTTTGTTGAACTTTGGATTTTTCTCAGCTCTCTTTTTTAATTGTTATATAATTTGTATTTTGTTATTCTCGTACATTGAAAATTCATGAATATAAGATTTTGTTTCACTGAACTGGAAAGTTTTTATATGATTATTGTTATTCATTAAATCAGTTTTTGTTGTTCAAAATTTTTCATGAGAAAAATTTGTATTAGAAAAAATGAGTTACTTCCCCTTTTATTTGATGGACAGTAATTCTGCTGGGCACTTTTATCCAATTGGTTTGCTTGGTTCTTAACATTATTTATTTTGTACAATTTACATCGAATAACATATTAACACAAACAGTTAAAATGCCTCAGAAATCTTTAAAAATAATTTTATCAAGAAAATGAATTGTAAATACTTTTAATGAGATTTCTGGAGACATTTATGAAATGAAATTCAAACCATGATACAGGTGATTGACAACATATTTGTTAAATTTGGAAGTTTCTTGATTAATGTCCCTTATAAGGAGAAGGGAAATAAAAAAATGAGATAATATATAACAAAATTATGGGAGCAATGTAGATATTTTCACAACAACTAAAACTAATGGACGTTTGAATAAGTTGTTTTGGAATGAGAAATTAAAGTACTGCTCAATCTGTAAATTTTTAGTCCATAGATCATGTTTTAAATCAACAACTTACAGAATGTTGATGATTACTAAAGGAAATAGAAATTAATTAATGTAAATTATTTACAATTCATTTTGATTAAAAAAAATATGAAATTCCATGGCTTAACTAAATATTTGATAGAATTTAGATGAAACTTTATGTATCACATTTGATGTAAAATTGTTAAAAATTGCACAAATTAGGTTAAAATGGGCTTTATCATATTTTAATATTTTCTGTGACTGACAGACACATTTAATTATACAACTATGAAAAAATAACATTTTCAGTATAAATGTAACTGTACGTATTTTCCTTTTAATAAGAATAATATTGATTAAATCGTAACAGTGATACTAAAACTGATGTACCAAATTGTAAACCTTGTTATAATGAGTTCATTCTTGTACCATACAATTGAACATGTCCATAACATTATACCACTAAAATATTTGCCTTCAAAGGAGTAGTGGCAATAATGCCCTTATTTGGTCCAAATTGAGTTCAAATTGAAAAGTTACCATAAACATTCTTAAATTTGTTCTGACTACACTTAGGTTCAAGGTGTTCAGAAAATTTAAAAAAAAATCACATTTAAGGAGTTACCATGGCAACAAACAATGACAAAATTTGTGTTTTTGTAAAACTTGATTTCCCTTGTTTTACATCAACTTTTAAGTATACATAATAAATAGATTGGAAAAATATGTGCGTACACAAGAAGCAACTTTATATTTGGCAAGAATATGGCAATAGTTACTATAAAGCTTCTCTAAAATTATTCTGTTGTTTCTTGCACGATGTTGCCAAAAAGGAAATAACGATGAAAAACTGCAAAACTGCAAAACTGCAGTTTTCTTTGTTTTCATGAAAATGGTACATATTATGGCGTAATCATGACATCATAACATCAAAAATCTTATGTTATGCATTTACTATTTCTTTATTTTGTGCATTTGCAAACATTATGTGCAAATTTGGAATAGTTCTCCAACAATTTATTTTCTTGGGCAAAAACTGGGCCTTAATGTCCCACTCCTTTCATGCAAAAGTTTAATTTCATAAACTCACTTCAATTTATTTATGTAAATTTATAGACTGTTATTTGACAAAAAAAAAATGAACCTTAAAAATTCAGATTAAAAAAAATTGAACAACGATTCCATATCTAACCAAGTTCCAATTAAACAAAAATGTGGTCTGTACTTCTCATTATATAATTTATATAAACATAATAAAAAAAAAAACTATGGTAGATCTTTTATCATTACCTGAAAGTGCTAATAAATACTTTTGTGAAAATATATATATAATTATGGATTATTAAATACATATCTGTTTTAAAACATGTCATGCTAACTGTTAACACATAAACCACTAACTTTTTGCTTTGATTTTTTATACAAATTTATGACAATTTAAGGATTTTAGCACCAATATAAGGAAAAATAAAAGATGTCTCAAAACTAGATGCCTAAAGAGCCTGTATCTCTCATCTGAATCTATGGACACAGTTGCCAGCTTGGCCAAATAAGATAATGAATTAATAGACAGAAATTCATCCATATATATATATATATATATATATAAAGGTATCCTGAAGTTTACCTGTCCCTGCAGTATTCTAACCAAGTAATCTAATTAACTTAACATTATCTATACAATTATGCAGAATTCTTCATATTTCTAAATCTTGATCTTCTTCCAGTAATCTTCGCCTTTTAAATAGTTTATGTTGAATATTCCACCGTCTGTAGCCTACCATTGCTGTCAGGCCATATAAAAACATACAGATGTAACCAAGCACCTGTCAAAATAATAGTCATTATTAAATAACTGCAGTAGATCCAAGAACTTATCAATAAATTAATTGATTGATTGTTGTTAGTTTAACATCCCATGGCATATATTTCATGCATATTAATGAAGAGAACAAAGTTAACAATGCATCCAATAGGTAGGTTTTGCGGAGTAGGTCGATCCTGATGAAGGGCAGGATTTTGGATTGCAACTGGAAAAAGAGGACAGATAGATAAGATAGGGAGTTATTTAGGATGTGCCTGATTTATGATAAAAGATGCTGTAATGGCTTTAAAATACATATGGTATATGTCTTGAAATGTTGCATGTAAACACTATACAAGCTGCTGAATGGCTGAAGTGGGAATGTACCATCTCTATTACTTACAACACACTATACAAGCTGCTGAGTGGCTGTAGTGGGAATATACCATCTCTCATACTTACAAAACACTATACAAGCTGCTGAATGGCTGCAATGGGAATATACCGTCTCTCATACTTACAACACACTATACAAGCTGCTGAATGGCTGTAGTGGGAATGTGTCCTCTCTCATACTTACAAAACACTATACAAGCTACTGAATGGCTGTAGTGGGAATGTAACGTCTCTCATACTTACAACACACTATACAAGCTACTGAATGGCTGTAGTGGGAATGTGTCCTCTCTCATACTTACAAAACACTATACAAGCTGCTGAATGGCTGTAGTGGGAATGTATCGTCTCTCATACTTACAAAACACTATACAAGCTGCTGAATGGCTGTAGTGGGAATGTAACGTCTCTCATACTTATAACACACTTTACAAGCTGCTGAATGGCTGTAGTGGGAATGTGTCCTCTCTCATACTTACAACACACTATACAAGCTGCTGAATGGCTGTAGTGGGAATGTAACGTCTCTCATACTTACAAAACACTATACAAGCTGCTGAATGGCTGTAGTGGGAATGTGTCCTCTCTCATACTTACAACACACTTTACAAGCTGCTGAATGGCTGTAGTGGGAATGTGTCCTCTCTCATACTTACAAAACACTATACAAGCTGCTGAATGGCTGTAGTGGGAATGTAACATCTCTCATACTTACAACATACTTTACAAGCTGCTGAATGGCTGTAGTGGGAATGTAACGTCTCTCATACTTACAACACACTATACAAGCTGCTGAATGGCTGTAGTGGGAATGTAACGTCTCTCATACTTACAACACACTATACAAGCTGCTGAATGGCTGTAGTGGGAATGTAACGTCTCTCATACTTACAAAACACTATACAAGCTACTGAATGGCTGTAGTGGGAATGTGTCCTCTCTCATACTTACAACACACTATACAAGCTGCTGAATGGCTGAAGTGGGAATGTTACGTCTCTCATACTTACAACACACTATACAAGCTACTGAATGGCTGTAGTGGGAATGTAACGTCTCTCATACTTACAAAACACTATACAAGCTGCTGAATGGCTGTAGTGGGAATGTGTCCTCTCTCATACTTACAACACACTTTACAAGCTGCTGAGCGCCTGTAGTGGGAATGTGTCCTCTCTCATACTTACAAAACACTATACAAGCTGCTGAATGGCTGTGGTGGGAATGTAACATCTCTCATACTTACAACATACTTTACAAGCTGCTGAATGGCTGTAGTGGGAATGTAACGTCTCTCATACTTACAACACACTATACAAGCTGCTGAATGGCTGTAGTGGGAATGTAACGTCTCTCATACTTACAAAACACTATACAAGCTACTGAATGGCTGTAGTGGGAATGTGTCCTCTCTCATACTTACAACACACTATACAAGCTGCTGAATGGCTGTAGTGGGAATGTAACGTCTCTCATACTTACAAAACACTATACAAGCTGCTGAATGGCTGTAGTGGGAATGTAACGTCTCTAATACTTACAACACACTATACAAGCTACTTAATGGCTGTAGTTGGAATGTGTCCTCTCTCATACTTACAAAACACTATACAAGCTGCTGAATGGCTGTAGTGGGAATGTATCGTCTCTCATACTTACAAAACACTATACAAGCTGCTGAATGGCTGTAGTGGGAATGTAACGTCTCTCATACTTACAACACACTTTACAAGCTGCTGAATGGCTGTAGTGGGAATGTGTCCTCTCTCATACTTACAAAACACTATACAAGCTGCTGAATGGCTGTAGTGGGAATGTGTCCTCTCTCATACTTACAAAACACTATACAAGTTGTAGAATGGCTGTAGTGGGAAGTATCGTCTCTCATACATTTCTGTACTTACAACACAGAATACAAATTGTTTATCAGAGAGGTAATTACTGGTTTGGTTTTTAACTATTACACTAACGTTGAATGGTTGGTTTGAGAATGTGAATTATCGTATACATACAACACAGAATACAAAAAGTTGAATGGTTGGTTTGAGAAGTTCCTTGCATAACAATATGGCAGACATAATTATTCGAAAGGTGGATAACTGTATCTAAATAAAAGAGTAAAAAGTTCCAAAGGATTAGTTTCTTTAATAATTGAAATTTGAAAAGTAAATACATTATTTGTAAAACTTAAATTTAAAAAAAAAACCGAATAATACTTTTTATACTTTTATTAAGATAGAGTTATCCACCTTTAGAATATTTTACATCTGCCATATTGTTATCTACACAAAACTTGCATGCAAAGCACACATGAAGTGAAATTGTACTTTTATTGAGTAAAAACGACTTGTAGCTTATAATTATATACTTTAATATCTATTAAAGCAGTATACCACCATATAAGATAAAGTTTTTGTGTAACGTTTATTGGTTCTCTGGTCAATATTCAGTTCTTGGGTGTTCTTTGGAAATCGTGGTACCGTGGTTTGAGAATGTGAATTATAGTATACGTACAACACAGAATATAAGCTGCTGAATCATAGTTCTGGGGATGTCACTCCTCATCTTCTCATAGAAATCAAAAGCATTGGCCACTAATGATGTTCCAACTAAATATAGGAAAGAAAATAAGGAATACACCACTGTATCCTGAAATGAAATAATCAGTGCTTTAAGATGTGTCTCCTAATTGATATAATCTGATGCTTTATGATGTGTCTCCTAAGTAAAACAATCTGATGCTTTATGATGTGTCTCTTAAAAATAAAATAATCTGATGCTTTATGATGTGTCTCCTAAATAAAATAATCTGATGCTTTATGATGTGTCTCCTAAGTAAAACAATCTGATGCTTTATGATGTGTCTCTTAAAAATAAAATAATCTGATGCCTTATAATGTGTCTCTTAAATAAAATAATGTGATGCTTTATGATGTGAGGCTTGCCGAGCGTTTTGAATATTAAAATTTAACTGCCGAGAGTGGAGAAATATTGTATTGCACGAGTTTTGGTGGTGGAATATGTTTCTCTAATGATTTTTAGACGATATGCAAACTTAAAGAAAATTTGACGTCATAATTGAATTTTGACCAATGAAGAACCGAGGTTTAAACGACCACACATTGATTAAATAAAATATAATCAACAGGTCAGGAAAAGTATAAATTCACTAAGAATTAGAGAAATATATATATATGACTGAAAAATCAACATACAAGTATATACTAGTTAAGGGGCAGAGCCAGAATCATACAAACCATTATCTTACCTCCTATACATTTCTAGGAATATCATTGGTTAAAAGCTACCACGTGGAGACCGTGTATATTTCATATGGGGTTAGTAGGCTGGGCTTATTCTAATACACGGTTAGTAGTGGTGTTACGTCCCCTTATAAAAACAACATGGCGTTGAGGAAAACGAAATTGATGATGAATGATTGAAATAAATGTAGAAAACACATTAAAAGCTAACAAGTGTTTAGTGTTGGCATTTGTTTTTGTATAGACAAATGGAAGTAGGTTCTTTTTTATTGAAGACTTGATCACTTTGATAGGCCACTAGTCTAAATGCCACATATTAAGATAGTCAGTAAGATAAATTCGTTACACAGTGTGCTAGTGACCTAATATGATATATATATGGGGTCAATAAATATCGTATTAGGTCACTACTACGCTATGTAACTAATAGTATACCAGTTAAGCGGCAGAGCCAGAATCATACATACCAATAAATACCAGTTAAGCGGCAGAGCCAGAATCATACATACCATTAAATACCAGTTAAGCGGCAGAGCCAGAATCATACATACCATTAAATACCATACATACCATTAAATACCAGTTAAGCGGCAGAGCCAGAATCATACATACCATTAAATACCAGTTAAGTGGCAGAGCCAGAATCATACATACCAATAAATACCAGTTAAGCGGCAGAGCCAGAATCATACATACCAATAAATACCAGTTAAGCGGCAGAGCCAGAATCATACATACCATTAAATACCAGTTAAGCGGCAGAGCCAGAATCATACATACCATTAAATACCATACATACCATTAAATACCAGTTAAGCGGCAGAGCCAGAATCATACATACCATTAAATACCAGTTAAGTGGCAGAGCCAGAATCATACATACCATTAAATACCAGTTAAGTGTCAGAGCCAGAATCATACATACCAATAAATACCAGTTAAGTGGCAGAGCCAGAATCATACATACCAATAAATACCAGTTAAGTGGCAGAGCCAGAATCAATCCTGTTGCATTGATTATCCACAATGTCAGACTTGTCATCGATGTCAGCAGTAGAACAAATACCATTACACGAAAATGCCACCCAAGAGGCAATTGCAAAAAGTCACCATCTTTCTTCCCTACTGTGGTCAAACTTATTATTGCAATCAATGAGAAAATCTGAAAAAGAAATAGATAAGAATGATGGTTTTATGACAATGTTGAATTAACTCTATTTATATTTTACTTTCTATAACATCTGGCTTGAACAAACCTTAAAGTTTATCAAATGATGCCCAAACAATTCAAATCTTACAGTTGTGGACAAGGACCAATTTCTGGAGTCAAATAAATACTGTATATAAGGGTCTATAAAAGAAGACATATAAAGGTCATTGATATAGGGTGCAAATTCATTGTAATGTGTGCAATTATGGTTGTAAAAAATTTTGTTAATTGTTTTACTGTCTTGAAAAGGATCCCATTTTGTTTATATTTGAAAAATATCAACTATCAATTTACAAATAAACCAATATATCTCTGATATATCCTGAAATCAGTGGTTTAATGAAGTCATATTTGAACAACTATAATAGACTAAAAGTTTCTGGACCATACAAATAACTGTCTGCCTCCAATTCACAGAGATTTAATTCTACTAGGAAGAAATACAAACTTGATCTTTCTCTTTCCATTATACGCTAAAGAACCAGGAACCAAAAATTCCCTCAATATCTACATAAGTCTATCCTACCTGAAGTTAAAAGGTAAATATTTGATTTTAGAAAATTAAGGACAGAATTTGTGATCTATATAAGAATGCAAAACAATATTAGAATCAGTTTCAATTGGAATGTCCTTGTCTTTGAAAACGTCACAGTAGTAAAAGGCATGACTACTTTTAAAATTTGTCAGTATATTTTTGAAAAAAAACTTAAATTATTTATTATGATAACTATTTTGTCTGCAGTTTTTTTTACCAAAAGATCTTTTAAAAAAATAAAAATGTACAAATGTCCATGCAGGTCATGAATATATTTTGTGGAGTTAAGGTAAAGGTACATTATAAATATGTATCTAAGTATATGTACATGTATAGTTGTATACATATGTGTAACAGCAAATTTTAAATAATATCTCTTTTTTATAGTAATATGTTTGTTTTTTCTGTTTGTATGATTGTATTGTTTTTACATAGTGATCTGTAATTAGATACATAAAATGACTATCCATTAAATTATAAAGAGCCTTTTGTGGCTAGACAGATGTTTTGACACAAATTAAAGTTGCTGTAAAATCCTTGTGTCTTTTATTTCTTGGGGAGATCAATAAATCAATTTATTCAATTAGTTCATTTATTTACTGATTGAAACACAACAACATTGAATCATTATTTTCCTTTTCTGTATTAGAACTTGAATACAATATTATAAAAAAATTGTTTTCAATCACTAGAATCAGAAATTTATATATACATTTTTTTTTTTAATTTAGCCAGGGTATGCATATATGTGTTTAAAAATGTGCTTGTAAACAGGATTAAAAATTGCCATTCATATCGATGGAAATGTCATTAACTCACAAGATAATCCATCAATCCCATAAGTGTAGTAAAATTACTAATCCTTGAGAAGCATTTTATCAGTTGTTTTGTTACAAGTCAATTTTTAGGAAAAGAATAATAGCTTTATACTGAAACTCGTGATTTACATGTAGATTTAAGTGGTTTTAGATACTTGCATGTCGCTATCAATAATACATCTCTACTTAAACTTTGACATTCTATTGGTATTATAATAACATGTCATCAAAGGCTCATGTTAATATCAAACCAGACACAAATAGCTTATTTCTACATAGTAAATGACATTTCCTCCTTCCACAAAATTCATGCTGTAAACTAAGAAATGATTGTAATTTATTGTAATGCTATAATTGTGATAATAATCATCCTAATTACTGAAACTTTAATTGTAGATTTTGCTTAAATGTAATATCATTCCATTCTGCACTGTTTTTGGATCAATTGGGAAAGTTGAAAAAACACTACTAATGAAGAACACAAGCATGATTAATTTAGGAAAAATGTGTTTTCTTCCATTTGAAAATCATCCACTCAATAATTACATGTACATGAATTAGAAATGGCTTTGATAGTTCTTAAAGAAAACAATTACGCTGGGCATCACTTCTTATTTAAAAATGATTGCCGAGCATCCCTTATCATTTAAAAAGTTTTGATCATGCACAGAAAAATGTGAATTCATTGAAAACAAATTGATACCATCACTAGGACCATCACTGTCCTCGGATGGAATTCATTTGAGCAATTCAGGAAAGAAAAGCTTTGTGGATATTATCAAGGCCCATCTTAATCCCCCGTATTGGTATGAAACAATATCAGGATTACTTCCGGCCATACAGAAACAAAACTTTTCAACTGTCAAAATCATATTAGAAGAATTAGGCATATTTAATCAGGACAAAAAGGACAAGGAAATTAAAATCAACACGTTAGTCCGTCAACTGGTACAGACAACTAGTTAGTTAAAATGTTATAATATTATTACTAGTCTAATATTATCTTTATAAAAGCATGTTATGTAGAACAACTGGACTTTTTTTTCTTAATTGATCACTGTTTTGTTATTGACCCTAATGGTCCATTGCTAGAAAATATCTAGTCCTTTCAACTTGTGATGTATGCAATAAACATTGTTAAACGAGAATTTGAACTTTCAAATATTAAATCATTAGTTTTTTTTCAACTTTTTTTTTTTTAATTCATAAGTTACAGTAACCACAAAACTAAAGTTTAAATTTAAAGTTCTAAAATTGGTATTTCAGACTTCACAAAGACACAAATATATATATTAGAAGTGAAGAACTTAATTAAAAACAACAATTTAATTGTAATCCAAGCTTATAAATATAATGTTACCCCTTTATTCTCACATATATCTTTATATGTATGAATAAGTTAAATATAGGCTTTTGGAATACTCATGGCTTAAATAGTCATGGCTTAATGGCCTTTCCTGGATCTTGATATCTATATCTTTAACGGGAAGCTTAATACCAAAATTTATGATAAAAGAGATGATTTTTCAATTCCTATTGTTAATTATCCATTTTAAGATGGTGACGTTCCTTTGTCACCATCTTATGGTTTTATATATCTCAACTTGTTCGATTCGCTCGTGTATGTAACAACGTATTTGATTTCAACGAAAAGAAATCTCTGTATTACTGAAAAATTATTAAACCAGGGTTTTCGATATTACAAACTAGTCAAAACATTTACTAAATTTTATCATCGGTACAAGGACATCATTCGTAAATATAAATCAACATGCAGACATCTTATACGTTCGGGTATTTCACATCCAATATTTTATTGTAATATTCTTTACAAAGCACAAAAATGTCGGCATTCACCTCAAACATGTCAAAAGCTATCCAAACCTTTAAACAGACTTATTCGGAAAGGATATAGTTACGATACTGTTGTCAAGTCATTAAGGATTGCATATTTTGGTATAAATATTGATTCACTCATAGGGTCTTTGCATCTGAAATAAACACATTTATTCTAAAACCAGTTATTTGCATGATACAGTTATGTTCTTCTCATATATTTTATGATGGTATGATACTAAACCCCTTACGGGATGGATTGTACTTGATTTTCATATGATGAGACATAATCTTTCAATCAGTTTAATTGAGGTCTGGAGCTGGCATGTCAGTAACTGCTAGTAGTCCTTTGTTCATTTATGAATCATTGTCATTTTGCATAATTTCTTTTGTTACCTATTCTGACATCGGACTCAGACTTCTTTTGAACTGAGTTTTACTGTTCGTATTGCTATGTGTTTCTTTATTCTACATTAGCTAGAGGTATAGGGGGAGGGTTGAGATCTCACAAAAACATGTTTAACCCCGCCGCATTTTTGCACCTGTCCCAAGTCAGGAGTCTCTGGCCTTTGTAAGTCTTGTATGTTTTTTTAATTTTAGTTCATTTATATGTTTTGGAGTTTAGTGTGACGTCCATTTTCACTGAACTAGTACACAATTTTATTTAGGGGCCAGCTGAGGACCACCTCCGGGTGCAGGATTTTCTCGCTGCGCTGAAGACCCATTGGTGGCCTTCGGCTGTTGTCTGCTCTTTGGTCGGGTTGTTGTCTCTTTGACATATTCCCCATTTCCATTCTCAATTTTATACTTAAATTTTAAAAGAATAATGTAAATAGTTTTTTATATAGTTGGTTTTGTAGAAACTTTAGTATCTTTAGAATTAGATTCGACAGGAAATATCCTAGATTTTCATCCCGTTTCACTGTAAAGCCTATTAACATAGAAGAGGGAGACCATCAGGAGATATAGCAGTATACTGCAAACCACATATATTAGAAAGGGGAGTAAAATAGATTAAATGGTCAAAATTTTCACAAAGTTAGATAAACAAATTGTTTGACTCTCTTACAAAGTTTATTTGTGTTTTTATAAATTGGTGATGAATTACTATCATTGCAATTAAAAGGTAATCCAGATATAAGGGGGATTACTGTCAATGATAATGAATCACTTTTCAGCCAGTATGTAGATGACACATTCCTTATGCTAGAGGGAAATATTGTTGAGGGAAACACTTTCATGTTTTGAATCTTTTTATAAAATTTCAGGTTTGAAAATGAATGCTTCAAAGACAAAAGCACTATGGTTCCAAGTAAAAAGTATTCAGATCTTATTCTATGTCCTGACTTAAAACTTCATTGGTCACATTCAAATTTTAAACTTTTGGGGATTGATTTGAACTGTATCACAGAAATTAATTTTGCCAAGAAGATTAGAGAGGTCTCTGAAATTCTGAAGAGCTGGCAACATCGTAAACTCATGTTATTCCATTCGCAATTTTATTGGAGAAAATTACAGTAATGAAATCACTTGCTCTTTCAAAATTGTTACACTTAATGACTGCATTGCCAAACTATCACACTCCAGGTTAACAGAGCTCACTTCATTATTTTATGATTTCATATGGAATGGAAAACCAGACAGAATTAACAATGATTAAGCATAACACACTTATTGGTGATATTTCACAAGGTGGACTTAATATGGTACATCTTTATTCCTGTAATATCTATTTGAAAATCAGTTGGATAAAAAGACTGCTGTCAAACCCTGATGGTGGCTGGCAGCAGTTGTTACTGGCAGACCTTATACAGTATGGGGGTGAAAGGGTTTTACATCTTCAGAATGAAAAGCTGAATGAGATTTCTAATAGATGTAAAAATTCTTTCTGGAAGGATGTTTTCACTATGCTTTTCTGTTGCAAAACCTAATACTGGTATTTCTGTCAGTGGCTTTTTATCCTTAGATATTTTGAACTTCTCTTCTTTGGATGATTTCCCCTGCCACATTCAAAGGAAAAAGGGAGGTGTGCAGTCATTAAGTGGCCTTATTAATCACTCCTTCATGTATAAAGAGTGACAGTCTACTAACTTTATCTGCAAAATATATATAACGGTTTTTCAAAATAATAGACAAAACTTGTATTTTACCCATATGTTCTATTTTTAGCCATGTCGGCCATCTTGGTAATCAGGCGTGGTCATCAGACACATTTTTAAAACTAAATACCCCAATGATGATTTTGGCCAAGTTTAGTTAAATTTGGCAAGGTAGTTTCAGAGGAGAAGATTTTTGTAAAAGTTAACAGACGACAACAGACGATGATGACGGACGACAGACTCCAAGTGATGAGACAAGCTCACTTGGCCCTTTGGCCCAGGTGAGCTAATAAAAGAAAGAGAGCTCAAGCTACAAAAGCATGTCTAATGATTATCTTTTACAGAGGAAAGAAGTAAGGTCTCTTGGTGAAATTATTGCAAAAAGGCAACAAAAATGTAAACCTTTGTCAAATTGTGTTGATTCCTGCACATGTCTTAACCCAGTATTGTATCCAAAGAATGCAGCTTGAGTGGTGACAAATGCTACTCATTCATCAAAATAAAGTAAGGCCACTCAGCAGAATTACAAAATATATATTGTTTTTGTAATTTGTCCTATAAAAGTTATTTACAATCTAAATAGTGGTCTTAATTTATTACTACTCTGCGGCATCCAATGTATTTTTGAACATTAAATTGTCAACCTTGGGCAATAAGAAATTATGACCAGGATCGACATACCAAAATGTGTGTAAAAACATGCTATGACTTAAAACACAGAGGTTCTGGCTTAAGTCCTGGAGGATCAAGACAATATGATTTTCTAGTGATAATCATGCTCTCAGGTTTCATCACAATCACTTCTATAAGGACTGTGATTTCACAAAGATGTCAAAGTACATGTAAGTGCCAAATGAAGAAAAACTGTTGTCGTTAATATTTCAACTAAATTAATCCATTATCCCATAATTTCCCACCCTCAAGCTAGATAAGGATTTCTGATAAATGTAAAATACTCACCACTTGAATCAGTCTCAGCAACCCAATGCAGGATTTTATGTATGCTTTATCAACAAACAGAACAATCTTTTCTTCTACATTATAGTTTAGTGTGTTAACTTTCACATTTGCATCTAATGGTACTTTAGGGCCATTATAATTCATATTCTGAATGGTAGAAGATTCTGATTCTGCATGCCGGCACTGTTCATCATCTGTTGGTTGTGCTAACACATTTTCTTCTTGATCCATTATTTTTCTAGCACATGTTAAGAACAAAGCTTGGCAATGTTTAGGAACTCATAAAACAACTGATTATATCATGACATTGTTTCAATCTGGTAATTTGGACATTTTTATTTCAGCTTTGCTTTGCAGCATCCAAGCAGACGGTTTAGGACCGCTTACATCAAAGTATACAAAAACTTTGTTTACTTTACATTTAGCCCTCCCAAAAAAACTTGTAATGTGAATTATAGTAAAAAATTCTTATTTTTTAACAAAAGAATTTCTGGAACCGATATGATAAATTATGATAAATATTCTTTTTGATGTAAGGAAATAATATTGTCACGTGATTAACAAAATGGCGACGCCCATGAAACCCAGCGAAAAAGAAACCGTCGAAGATAAACCTTACTTATAGATAATTTAAGATGATTTTTAATTATAAAAATGAATGAAAAGGATTTTGCACCTCTTACACCAATATGTGTAAAAAATCTTAGTGATAGATTATATGAAAAACGGAAAACTGGTGCTATTGAAGTTGAAAGGTATTTCCCTGTTGGAAGGGACTTTCCAAAATCTCTCAATTTTGTGGTCTAATGTAAATTGATTATTCAAAATTAAGCAATTAATGATATAGAAGAATTTCATGAATGGGCACTTCAACCCCCGATCTGAGTGTCTCACTATATCTAGCTGTCAATATATCTTCAGACAAAGAATTTTAAGCTGAATGCTTTCCCTTGTATTGTGAGTGGTGAAGGTGCATTAATTTATTGATGGTTTACGAGGGCAGTTTTTAAGCTCTCTTCACTTGTTGAGAATGAGTTGGTATGTTGTGGTGTTCTATTGTGGAAATGTCAAAACACCTAGTACTGTTTCTCACTTGTTTTTCTACAATGTTTGTTGGTTGAAAGTTATAAAACTCAAAGGCTGTGATGGTTCTTCATGGCCTATGTTGTAGTTCTTGGAGTTTTAGTTTGATAAGCATGTTTGTTATGAATCCATCTTCCCTTGTTTTGTAGTATCCTGTTATGAATTAACCTTACTGCTTGCCATTGTATTCTTTCTAACTTGTTAGTATCTGCTACATGGTCCCATACTGTTGCTGCATATTCCATCGTTGAACATACTAGTGAAATGTACACAGTTATCTTACATTCTTGTGGACAGTAAGCATTCTAATATTTGCACTCCTAGGTATGGGTTGTTCTTGACTTGTTGGAGTATTGACCATTGAGTGTATAGAATCTCTGGCTTTTGTTTTGAATGATATTCAATTGCATTAAATTCCATTCTCGAGCTGTTGGCTATGTGAAAGAAGATTAATTAGTATTTTCTACAGGAATTTTAGGCAGGGTAGGGTGCCTTATCCCATTTTCATGATGCCCTGCATTATTTGTAGAAATTTTGCCACACTGTCCCTTTCATAGTACATGTATTTATATTGTATATAAAAATAAGTTTGAACTTCTTTTAAGAGAGGGGGCCTTGGTGGCCCAGTTGTCTAAATAGTCCAACTACTATATCACTAGCCTGTCAACACTGAGGTTTTGAGTTCAAATCCTGCACGTGGCAGGTGGGCTTTTCTTAATTGTCTAGGATTTTGCAGAAGGTCAATAGTTCTCTGTCCAGGGAAATCTGGCTTCCTCCACTATTGAATGCCACAATATAGCCAATAGTGCTGAAAGTGGTGTCATACACCAGTCAATCAATCAAACTTTTAAGAGACTGAGTACAAATGTCAAATTCTTATCAGTCAACTGATTTATTTGCTGTTTATTATAAAGTTGAATTTAATATTTGAAACACTTCATCAAATTCATTTATTATGACTGGTTTTTGCTTTTTGAACGATGGAAGAATGTTGTTTGGTGAGGATTTACGACAGCTTTCTCTCTGTTCTTTTATTTCAATTATGCACTTTGTGAACTTTTGAAACAAACTTTAATTTAAATCTCTTAAATCAAAATGACTATACCCAGTGACTGACATTAAATTTTATACCAACATGTCCCATCGGACAAGAGACTATGAATTTTAATTGTCCGAATGGAAATATCACTTGTCCCTACTTCTTTTCAGTTCATATTTCTTCTTATTTTCATTGTCGTTGGCCTTTAGTTTTTCCCGAACCCCACTAAAAAAATTTCCCAACGTTAGTTGGGACATCGTCAGCGTCTGTACTCATAGTACTAAAACTCAAAAATGATGAGGCGATCAATAAAAATCATATACTGACATGCACTAATATTGGTTCATTGGTACTAGTAAAATCCTCTTTCAAATCAATCTTTTAACATATTTTTATCTTAAATTTTATAGTTTTTATACGCCCATTTACGGGACGTATTATGGTATACTGTTGTCGGATTTCCGTCTGTCTGTCCGTCCGTCCGTCTGTCTGTCCGTCGTCAACATGTCGGACATTAACTCAAAAACGCTTTAACCAATTTGCTGAAAACTTTGGTGAATTGTTTACATCTATTGACGTGAGCATTTTCGTTTTTTATAAATTTTAGATTTTACGTTTTGCGAGTTGTGGGGTTTTATTCATTAAAAAAAGGGTGATTTTCCAGTTTCAGACAATAACTCAAGAATGCTTTCACCAACTTGCAAGAAATTGTGGTGAATTGTTTATATCTATTGACATGAGCTCCCTTTCGATTTTTATATATTTTAGATTTTACGTTCCCGAGTTACAGGGTTTTATTCATAAAAAAGGGGGATTTTCCAGTTTTTAGACAAAAAATGAAAAATGCTTTCAGCAGTTCGTATGAAACTTTGGTAAATTGTTTATATCTATTGATGTAAGCTCCGTTTAGAATTTTATAAATTTTACATTTTACATTTCTTAGTTATGGGGTTTTATTCAGTTAAAAAGGGGGGATTTTCCAGTTTTTGGACAATAACTCAAAAATGCTGTCAGCAATTCTCATGAAACTTTGGTGAATTGTTTATAGCTATTGATGTAAGCTCCCTTTACATATATATATATATATCTCTATGACATTGAAAATTAATTGAACTTTATTTGTTTATAGTCTGACAACAGATTTACTAAGTATTGCCCAACAGCACAGTGTATTGCACAACAGCAAGAAATCTTTAATTAAATATAAATTCAATTCATATGACCAATTTCAAGTTCTTTGACTACATTTATTCAGAAACCTATAATATGTCAAATGTTTAATACAATCCAAATTCAGACCTGTATCAAGCTGGAATATTGTGTCCATTTTTGCCCCAACTGTTCAGGGTTGGACCTCTGCGAGCATATCCAGCTGCGCTCAGCGAAGCAGTTTATTAATTTTGGACAACTTTTTCATTCAATAAAATCAAATTTGTATATTTGCACCTTTAATTTCTATTAAGAACCACTTCCAAGAAACAGCGAGAATAGAGACTTCTGAATGGTCCGATAAACGTACTGCACTCTTTGATTGCATTTTGGTCGATATTTAAAAACTCTTAATTTAAACTAGGGAAAATATGCAAAATGCTGAATGTGCACCAGATGTGTAAAAGTTGAATAAATGACATCAACAATTGTTAAATTGATGATTTACGATTTTTGGAAATAAACTTCCAATCTAGAAATACTATAACTGGAGCAATTTAGTTTGAATTTAAAGGATATCTTTATTTTTGTTACTTGTCACCTCGGACAAGTGCACTACGAAAAATCAGTAGTCCGAACATCGTTTTTAGTTGTCCCGGGCAATCGGACAGCCGTTAATGTCAGTCCCTGCTATACCTTGTAAATATGACTGAATGAAAAACAACTAGATTCTCAATAGTAATTTATTTAGGTTTAGATTTCTATTTGTTTGATTCTGATTTACGATTGGTTGCTGGATTCTAAAAATAGGTGTAAATTATCTAATAAAAGCAAGAATAAGCCAAAAGCACAGTAACACTCTATATCGTATTAAAATATTGTTGGTACACATTTGTAAAATTTCACCATTGCATACATTATAAAACCATTTCTATGTCTGATGATTTATATCCTTGTTTTTAAGATGACTCTAGACAGATGAGTCTCAAGTGCCATCAAGATACCAAGTGGCAATTTTATTACTGAAAATGCATTGCTATCAGGATTTAGCAACTGTTAACCCCCAAAATACAATTTCTGACAAAAAGGCATTAGTAATTTCTGATTTCAGGAAGGTTTGTCTTTCAGACTAAAAAAAAAATTCCTAAATTGACTGAAATTAGGAATTGAATTTCAGTCATTTGTATTTTGAAGCAGCCATGTCTGGAAAATATTTTTTTTTTGTGCCCCATGTTTAAAAGCATAGATCATGTTAGTATTTTTATGTTATAACAAATTTGAATTTAAAAATTAATCTTAATTACTGAATTTACTTTCAGAATTGTAAAAGATTTGGTAACAAATAGCAAGAGATCACAGATAAAGAGAGTGCTGAAAATTCTTGGTGATGATTTTGCATTATCAAATAATCCTAACGCTAGGAATGGTGGCTTTATTGGATTAGCAGCTTCAGCAATAGCTCTTGGAAAAGTAAAGATTTATTTAACTTACAGGATTTAAGAAAGATATAACCAGAGTTGATTTTGATTACATGCATGGTTTTTTTTAAATGCATTATATTTGTAAACATCTTTTGTACTGAGCATACCTTTAAAGAATTATTTCTATTAAAAAAGGAAAAACTTGTCCCAATGATTTTGAAGTACTGTGAGCTTTGTATATTATATGAAGTATCTTTTATAAAATTCAGAATTTATCAATCACAAATGTATTTTAGTAGTGTGTTCAGAATTGTGACTGCATGTAAAGAACAGAAGTTAACATTTGGTGAAAAATAGCCTAATTTGAATGGTTTACTCTCAATCTGCCATTGATTTAATCAAATTTTAAGATAGACTGCACCAAGCCTCTGTAAGTGCTCTATCAAAAATAAGAAGATGAGGTAAGATTGTGAATGAGACAACTATCCACCAGAGACCAATCAAGGTAGATGTAAGAGCAAGTACATGGCACAGTATCACCTTCAACAATGAGCAAAACCCATTCCATATTGTAAGCTATAAAAGGTCATGTCTGACATGACAAAATGTCAAACATTTCAAATAAAAAAAAACAAATGCCTGATTCATGTACAAAACAATAAATGAAGAACAAATGTGATAGACAGCGACCACTGAATTACACGCTCCTGAATTAGGAAAGGCTAAACACATTTATTCTATTTTTCAGGAAGCCAACAATTATGTAGAAGACTTGATTCGTCCAGTTGTTCCATCATTTACTGATCAAGATAGCCGTGTCCGTTACTATGCCTGTGAAGCACTGTACAACATTTGCAAAGTCTGTAGAGGGTTTGTGCTGCCATACTTTAATGAAATCTTTGATGGAGTTAGCAAGGTTTGCATTGTAATATTTAATATTTATTACTGTTGAGAAACATGAGAAAGATCAAACTGTGTTTAGTTATGGCCTAATTTTGCTTGAAAAAAAAATTAAAAACTGAAAAAATTTCCAAAATAAAATTTGGTATGCTGTGCTTTAGGTTTGCTTAAAGACACAAAAAAAGTTTTAACAGAAAAAATAGTAAATTCTTGCACGACTTTACATAAAAAATGAACTGTTTTTTTAATAATATCATAAGAGATGCATACATGTGCATTCACTTTGTTCAGGTTAGGCAATGAAACTTTATAGATATACATAACAGGATCACACCCTAACTATGTAACACTACACTATCAAACCCTATAGATATATAACACTATATGATTCCACACTAACTACTGCTATCTCATGTTGAAAATTTGTATTGCTCATTGTTGCAAAACCAAGTTTGACTGAACTTGATTTTTCATTCATTAGAAGCAGCACTTGTCAAATTTAGAAAACAGTTACAGACTGTATTAGACTATATTGAAGAAAAAAATGCAAGAGAAATAACAAATTTTAAATTAAAAAAATGTAATAGAGACAAAAAGCATAGATAATTGTTGAAGATGCACATGATAGATGCAGTTCAAAAAGAAAGATAAATTTGTATTTAGATAAAAGTGTATAATATTTTAATTGCTATTTCAGTTAATAGCAGATACTGAAGTAAATGTAAAAAATGGTGCAGAAGTTCTGGACAGACTCATAAAGGTATGTGTAGTGACTAAATGTTCAGCCTGGGTTTTTTCTAAAGAAGATGACAGTTTGATCACACACACAGTAATATTTTTCTCCTGGTGTCTATACAATTTCTTGGAGTCAGGTGAAGTTGACCTTGAGAGATTATCTCATAAACAAAACCTCATAAACTGGACGATGATAAGATGAATACATCTCAAACATGGGAGCAACTTTTACTGCATCCATACAGTATAATTATAAGAGACAAATCTGATTGTTAATTGGAAAAGAAAGGATATGCGTTGGATGTACAACAGCTTTTGACATAAGCCTTTACTATATAGATGATGCACTGTCTTTAAATAACTAGGAAATAAAATTATCTACATCTTTTTTCATTCCAATGGGGTTGATATTTAGGGCACTACCGAAACAGCAGGGTCTGTTTCAACCTGGACACTCACATTTCAATGGACACTAAATGCTGTGTGAACAAACTTTTATAGCAAGCAAAATTATTTTAGTTTAAACTGTGTATAAATAATATATTATTTTTAACTTATTGCTGGTAAAAAGACTTTTACCTGCTCAGCTGCTCTGTAAATCTCGTATCATGTCTTTGAAATGCGAGCAGAACTTATCAAAGATGTTACAATGCCTGAGGAGAAGTCATCACCAAGTGTGAGGAGACAATATAAAGCTTACTTTCATCAAGCTTTAATCGGTCTAAAGAAAGGGGAAAAGACCAGAAAAAACACATTAAACAGTTTATCAAGGTTTCTGTGTATAGGTATTGTAAAATATCAGCCACCCGACACAATATGAACCTTTTTGCTCATTCACTGTGCTCCATTGCCAAAAAGTATCAAATTGTGGATCACTACTGATATTTTTACATTATTAATGTGTGTAGAAAACACCATAATCTATAATTAACCCAATGATCTATACTGAAGCCTACCTCCTGATGCAGGATTTTCTCACTGTGTTGAAGACCCTTGGTGGCCTTGGGCTGTTTTCTGCTCTTTGGTCAGGTTGTTGTCTCTTTGACACATTCCCCATTTCCATTCTCAATTTTATTACTTTAGATATCAGACTGACCTACTCCAGTTACATTAATAGTTTGGTCACCTTTATATTCATCCATTAGTGAAATCATCACTTAAAAAGTTTTTAAGGTAACTGTCACAAATTGTTGTTCCTTATTGAGTGATTGTTTCACAATTGATTGCTGACCTATTTCCCTATAGGCTTCAAATTCTTTTACTGGGTTTGACTCTTACAGAATTCATTTAATTTGGCTTTTGTGCAATGTAAGGTGTCACATGTATATATAGCAAGAGATGTTTGCCATTCTTTAACACCTGTCATTACACTCAGTTTTTTTATGGGCTCCCATATTGCCAAAATCCTTTGGTTTTTGTGTTTTCTATTTGTATTTATCAGATTTAGTCTGTCCAGGTACCAGTCTTTACATACTGTTATATACAACATTTCTTCAGCCAGGATGAAGCTTTCGAATAAATGCATTTACATGTTTTTAAAAGTGGAAAAGTTTGAAATAACTTTGCCTGATTTGAACATTTGTGATAAGGGCTATTCCATTAAAATATATGTGGGAGGGTAGGAAGGGAAGTTTAATTATTGAATGTGGGTCATGGATCTTTTTTCAGTATGCATCTATTACCATTATGCAAAATTATCTAAACAATAGTTCTTGGTTTTAGGGATATTTTGAAAGTCCCTTCCTACCCTCCTATATACATTTTAATGGAATAGCCCTAATTGAGATCATGTATTTAGAATGATTTATGGTTAAAGAAAAGTACAATCTTCGCTATAAAAGAATCAAGAAATAAAAATAATTTGTAAATATGATATTACAGTTTTCATTGGAATTGTACTATTTTTTATGCCCCCTCAAAACACAGATCAAGTTTAAATTTGGTGGCGTCACTTTAACTGTTCTAGAGTTATGCCACTTTACAAATAGAAAAATTGCTGAATTTTTCGTTTCCGTTCTTTAACTTTAGTTTGCCTCAACCAAATGTTATGAAACTTATGTACAATGCTTTTTACCACAAAATACAGATCAAGTTTGAATTTTGGTGGTGTCACTTTAACCCTTCTAGAGTTATGCCCCTTTACAAATGGAAAAATTGCTGAATTTTTTGTTTCATTCTCTAACTTAAGTTAGCCTAAACCAAATGTTATGAAACTGATACACAATGCTTATTACCACAAAATATAGATCAAGATGGAATTTTGGTGGTATCACTTTTACTATTCTAGAGTTATGCCCCTTTACAAATGGAAAAAATGCTGAATTTTTCGTTTCTGATCTCTAACTTTAGTTTGCCTCAACTAAATGTTATGAAACTTATATACAATGCTTATTACCACAAAACTCAGATCAAGTACATATTTGGGAAGAGTCACTTTTACCGTTCTTGGGTTATGTTCTTTTATAATGTTATATGCTAGCGGGGGCATCATCTGTGTCCCATGGACACATTCCCCATTTATTTGTAATGGAATCAATCCCCCCCAAAAAAAAAGTTTGCCTCAACCAAATGTTATGAAACTTATACACAATACTTATTACCACAAAACTCAGATCAAGTACAAATTTGGGTAGCGTCACTTTTAACGTTCTTCAGTTTTGTCCCTTTATAACTTTATATGATATGCAAGCGGGGCCATCATCTGTGTCCCATGGACACATTCCCCATTTATTCCAAATAATTATTTAGAATTGCAGTTATCATTATAATGTCTAGGGAAGATATTTAGTTTGGCATTAAATGTATATAAAAGGTATTTAATTTATTATCAAGAAACAAATTGTAATATTTGATTTTATATTTGAATAGGACATAGTTACAGAAAGTTCTTCATTTGATCTAAAAGCTTTCATTCCACTCCTTAGAGAGAGGGTTTATGCCAGGGATCCTTATGCTAGACAGTTCATTGTATCATGGGTAAGTCAAAGTATTGACATATTTATATTGGAAAAAAGGTTATTTCTTTACCACAAATTACTTAAAACTTTACTGAATTCTTTCATAGATGCAAAGATTTGGTTTGGAAGTTTGGCTGTACCTGTAGAAAACTTATTTCAAAAGGGATAGCACATTTTAATTTTTATGGAGATGTTGTTTACCGAGCATGGAAATTCATGGTTCTACAAATTGTCGATACCTGTATTTTGGCATTGCACAAAAATGACTTTTTTTCTCTTACTGTTAATGACGCATTTATATCAAATCGATTTGATGTTAGATGTGTACTGATTAATATTTTAGGTTTAGATACATGTTTTTTATATCCGGTAGTTGTTATTGGCTTTGAACTAGCTGTCAGTAACTGTGAGTACTCTCAGATCTGTACTTAATGTCTTTTTTATTGTGGGGAAGTATAAATTCCCTACCATGTCAGGTCTGTGTTTTTGTGCTTTTCAACTTATTTTTATAGTTTGTTCATTTGTTTTGCTGTTACACCACTGTCCCATGTTAGGGGGAGGGTTGGGCGCTCGCAAACATGTTTAACCCTGCCAAATTCTGTATGTGCCTGTCCCAAGTCAGGAGCTTGTAATTCAGTGGTTGTATGTTGCATTTTTTTTTCGTTCATTATTTTTTGTACATAAATCAGGCCGTTAGTTTTCTCGTCTGAATAGTTTTAAATTTGTCATGTTTTGCTCATTGTTGAAGGGTGTACAGTGATAGTTGTTAACTTCTATGTCATTTGGTCTCTGGTGGAGAGTTGTCTTATTTGCAATCATACCACATCTTCTTATTTTTATATGTATATTAAATTTCTGACTCACAAATAGTACAAAATAAAGTGTCCCAGGCTAGGAGCTCCTCTTTCTACAGTCTGATGGCTTATCCTGTTAGAATCTTATGATTCTGAAGTACCATACATGACATACACACCACCTGATTGAAATAGGAGGATTTTTATTTGAAGTTTGAATTATGTCCATCTCTGACATAAAACACCAACGAAATATACAGAGTCAATCACCAATAATCTCCATCATTCATTGTGAAAATTACCACTATGACTTAAACAAAAACACTTTGAGTGGCCTTTAGTCTTAGTGCTGTAATCAATAGATTTGACTGTAATTTTATGAGTTCTATGTTATATCTTCTTCAAAGTTCATAATTTATAATGTTTTTACTATACCGAAGGCCAATACAAAGGCAACCCTACACATATTTTCTATTCAATAAGAATTCAAACCGACAGATATTCTTTGAAGTTGGCCAACTGTCCTATTAAGATTTTCAAGACTACCTAGGATATGCATACAGAACATTTCCTGCAATCTTCCCATATTTTTTATTTTCAGGTTTAACTGTTAAGAATTTCCACGTTTTTGATAAATATATTGAAATTCACACTGTGAATGGCAAATTTCCATCAGATTTACATTTTTCTTTGCAATCAGTCTAGTCTAATAACATTTTGGATGAACATTTGTGAGTTCTGAATTTGACTGATATGTGACTAGTTGCATGTTTTTGAACTGAAATGAGAAGATCAAAAACATAACCATGACAACTTTAAAGTAACATGTAAGTAATGTTTGAGGAATTCAGTGAGAGAATATTTTTATAATGTTACTTAAAAGGGACCTAAGCAGGCTTGGAATATAATGTTCAGTGCTCCAGCTAGAAATTGAAAGGGGCAGGGTGCCAGTGGAGGGCAGGGCACTTTTTATGATAGGAAAAGGCACTGCTTATTTTTTTTGTCTACGTTTCTGTGTGTATCACGAGTTCACATTGTTTTTTTACTGTATATGTTGACAATAAAGATAATAAGTTGTTGTTTTGATTATTTATTCTATAAAATTTGCATTAGAAAAGTCATTCATACTATATGTTCATAATACATGGCAATACACATTCATACATCACATCACTATTAACCAAAAGAGTCAAAATAACTATAACTATAACCCCCCTTCCAAAAAACAGCATAAACTAAACATCTCATATTTTAGAGTTGTCTCATTTAAAATTTTTAGCTAGAGTTTGGCCCACTCAACTGTTTTCATTGTTCCTGTCAATGAATTATTTAGTATAAATAAATAAACATTGTTGGATTTCTTAAGGCACTCAGTATGTAAATACTTTTTTAGCTCACCACGCTGAAAGGCCAAGTGAGCTTTTTCTCATCACTTAGCGTCTGTTGTCCGTCATCATCTGTTAACTTTTACAAAAATATTCTCCTCTGAAACTACTGGGCCAAATTCAACCAAACTTGGACACAATCATCATTGGAGTATCTAGTTTTAAAAATGTCAGATGACCCCGCCTCCCAACCAAGGTGGAAGACATGGCTAAAAATAGAACATTTGTCTATTATCTTGAAAGCTGAAATAGATTGATAGAAACTTTAAATAGCACAAATGATCAGCAAGATAAGATCTACAAATAAGCCATAATGGCTGAAATCTTCAGTCGACTTGTTATTGCCCTTTCATGATAATTTTTAACTCTTTTTTTTTGCATTTTTATCCTATTATCTTAAAAACTATAATAGATGAATAGAAACTTTAAAGAGGAAAAATTATCAGCAGAATAAGATCTACAAATATATCAACATGACTGAAATTGTCAGTTAACTCTTAATAGAGTTATTCCCCTTTAATGATGATTTTTTACAAAAAAATAGCCATTTTTAAAGATACAGGTGAGCGACACAGGCTCTTTAGCCTCATGTTTATTTCCCTGTTGATAATCATCCATTATTAGTACTTATAATACATTGTGAGACAATTTCTGGTTATTACATATATATATAATTTGGTAAAAATTTCGTTTGTGCAAGATATTAATACTTGGTAGTTACCTGATACAATGAATTTATTATGCACAGGTAGCTGTGTTAGATGCTGTACCAGACATCAACATGCTGGTTTTATTACCAGAAATTCTGGATGGATTGTTCAAGATACTTGGAGATCAGAAACCAGAAATAAGAAAAATGTAAGTATTATTTACAAAAGTACCAAGATCAACTGAAAAAAAGTTTAATTTTTTTTTTTTAGTTCAATATTTAATTATATAAGTTTTAATAAGAACTATATTTCCAGAATTATTTTAAGTCCAAAATTCATTGTTCATGTTGCTATACATAAACTATGATAATTTCTCAGCTAGATAGCTAAATGGAATAGAAGAGCAAAAACTTTAATATAAAAATAGAATCAACACAGTAATAGTCCTCCTTTATTAGATATTTGTTGGGAATTATAACATCCATGGAGTTTTCAGTTTGCAGGTATGGTCACTGTTACACCTGCTATAAAAGTCCTTAGTTTTCTGAGAATTGTCTTGGAAATATGACAGCCATGATGATATATAAGACAACATTGAACTCTGTTGAACATAACACTGGAGGAAACTGTAGAGTGGAAACTGTTGAACATAAAACTTGAAGAAACTTTTTAAACACATTTTCATTTTCAGGACAGAGTTGAAGTATTGCACATTTTGCTACCTTGACATTTTGTCTGATTGTTCTTATGACTATACATGCATAGTATATGGTTAATCCAAATGTAACAGTTAGTCTGTACATAAACAATTGTAGTTTTGTATTATTTTCAGGTGTGAGAATGTATTAAAAGATTTCCTGAACAGTATAGATACAAACCCAGCAGATGTCAAGTTTGAAGGAATGTCAAATATACTGATATTGAACTGTCATAGTGATGGTAATACTCATTAACATAAGTTTTGTTTACACTTCACCTCTGTGTCTCCTAATTACTGTAAATTCAGAAATTATTGTGTGAATTTATTATTGCGGTTTATGGAGAATTGACAAAAAATGTAAAATTAATTATTGTGATTTCAGGAAAATCTGCATACAGATATATGTATCAGATATTAGTATGCGAGTTTTTATTGTTGTGATACTCAATCAGTTGCATTATTTGCATTAAAATAAAGGCCTCTCAATAATTTCTGAATTTTCAGTATATACAGGTTTTGAAACATACATAACTATCTTTTATGGGACTATTGTTTCATGCTATTTTTTAGGTCATATATATTTGGTGTGTGGAATGATTGTAAGGTGTACATGTCCAGCTGGCAGGTTTTATCTGACCTTGACTTCATTTAAATGGTTCATTGGTCAAAGTTAAGATTTCATGGTTGGGACTGTTTCTCTGATACTATATGCAATATATATGTAATCTGTACTTGGTGTATGGAATGATCCTAAGCTGATTCTGGTTCATTGGTTAATGTTTAGTTTTTGTGGATGGGTCCTTTTCTCAGATGCTATAAGCAATAGATAAGCTATTGAATGATTGTTAGGTGTGAATATCTGTCTGGCAGGGTTTATTTGACTGTGATCTCATTTTCATTGATAATATTAAGTTTATGTGATACTTATAGTAAAACCTTTATCTTAAAAACATTCAACATAAATTCAATCATGATCAGTGATGCAGGCGAAACATTTCAGCCTTCACACTCTTGAAATTCATATCAGGTAAATATTTTTTATTTGATCCTGGTTTTAGGTTTTAATAACATCTTATGTAAATCATTTTCACTCATTCACTCAACTGTTACTAACACTATATGATACATGTAGATTTTGATAATTCAGTTTGTCAAAATAAAATAATGATATATTTTTCAAATGCACGAGTAATAAAAATCATATATCTGACCTGAATATTAAGGTTGCTTTATAAAAGTTAAAATGGTCTCTTACATTCTTCTGTACATTGTATATATATATGGTAGCCAGGTTATGACTTATAAAAGAGAGTTTTGATAGGGTCCCCTATTCTCTATTGTCCTTATATAATAATATATGTAACATAAATTTGGTTTGTCATCATTAATTTTTAACCATTTTACTGTACATGAAATATTATAGGCCATTTTTTTCTACATTCTTCATTTTTCTTGAATCATTAATTTTCTGTAATTGATTTATAATTTTAAGACCACAACATTTTTGGACTAAGCTTACCCTTGTTTTAATGGATTTTTGTCTCGCCTGAGAGGAAAGTTGCAGTATGAGAGACATAGGTATTACTATGCGGTAGTTAAGTTTTCATGGTTGGAACTGTTTACATACAACATTGTATGTAGGTAACTTATGTTCCGTTTGTCATATGCCCATTGTCCTTGACCTCATTTTCATGGTTCAGTGACTGCTTGAAATAAATTTACAGTTTTTTTGTCATGTGAAATTCTCACTTATTATGAGTAATAGGATAATTATATTGGTATATTGGTTCCTTGCAACATCTACATGTCCGTCAGACAGGGTTAACCTGATCTTGACCTCAATTCATTAATCAGTGATCAAGGTTAAAGTTACGTGATTATGTCCGTTTCTCAGATACTACAAGCAGCAGGTCAACTATATGTGGTGTATGGAATGATTGTCAGGGGTACATGTCAGACTTGCAGGTTTCATCTGACCTTTACCTCATTTTCATGGTTTATTGGTCATTGTTAATTTTTTGTGTTTTGGTCTGCTTTTCAAGTACTATAAGCAATATGTCAACTATATTTAGTTTATGGAATGATTGTAAGGTGTACATGTCTGTCTAGCTGTTGTCATCTGACCTTGGCCTCATTTTCATGGTCCATTGGTCAGCGTTAAGTTTTTGTGTTTTGGTCTGTTTTTCAAATACTAATAGCAATAGGTCGACTATAATTGGTGTATGGAATGATTGTAAGGTGTACATGTCTTTCTAGCCAGTATCATCTGACCTTGACCTCATTTCCATGGTTCATTGGTTAACATTAAGTTTTTGTGTTTTGGACTGTTTTTCAATTACCGTAAGCAATGGGTCAACTATATTTGGTGTATGGAATAATTGTAAGATGAACATGTCTGTGTGACAGTTTTTATCTGACCTTGACCTCATTGTCTTGGATCTTTAAAAATGTTAAGTTTATGTGATACTTGTAGTAAAACCTTTATCTTTAAGACTTTCAACATAAAATCAATGGTCAGTAAAACAGACGAGACATTTCAGTGTGTGCACTCTTGTTATTTTTTTTGTTTTCAGATGAGATTATCCAGTGTACAGCAATGACCTGGCTGACAGTATTTATATCTAAAGCTGGTAGGACCATGCTCCTAAATGCTCCAGGCATTATCAAGACTGTTCTGCCTTGTCTCACCAACAACTCGCATAAAGTGTATCCTTAAGGTTATTATTCAATTTTAAAATTGTCAGAAAAATATTTTCTTTAAAGATTTAGTTTCAAAAAGTTCTCCATTTAGGGAAATTGTGTGACCAATCATGACCAGCTAAAACTTTTAATTGAAAGATTGATACGAAGAATTTAATACCTTAACTTCTATAAGTGTTTTAGATGCTGCTAGGAAACTTAATTCAGAAATGAAGACCCTAATATGTGAGCAGGATGATTTGCCCACACCATTGCTTGGAAGTCCAATGGATGGTGAAATTAAAATAAAAGACCAAACAGACACTGATAAAGAGGAGATAACTCCTGATAAAACTGGTGGAAGGTTTGTTAAAGATTCATTTTCTTATAATTGTGGCCTGTTATCTATTTCTTCCATAAAGAGATATTTCTCTTATCAAACTGCACAGAGTGTGTTATGAAAAAGTGATATGAAAAATGCATTAATTTGATTGGCTTATCCAGCATCATGAGATGATATAACAACATTTCCATTGGCTAGATAATATACTAAACGTTCACACATTTCACCTGGAAATCTTGTTGACAAATTTTTCTACATTCTGAAACTTACAAATAGTTTTAAAATGTCTAATGTTAAAGTTTGACGCCAGAACAGGACATATGATGTCATGCTGGTATGTGCAAAAGACTAGATCAGCGATTCATAGAATTTTTAATTTAACGCAGTGAGAGTTTGACCATAAGAGAAATAGGTTTAACAACTCGTGAGAATTTAATATCACTTGATATCAACTCTCGTTATTTAATTTGAATAGTAATGATAAACTAGCTGAAAGCTTATTTATTATTATATTGAAATTAAATAACTCGAGTTGATATCAAGCAATATCCAATTCTTACTCGTTATAAAACCTATAATTATTTTAAATAAGAAGTTTGATTGAATATTAAACAAAAGTTTAAAAACATTTTTTAGAATCTAAATTGGTAGATCTAAAAATATTTCAGTTGTATCAATTGTTACTGTATAACAAGGTGCAAGAAATAACATATTAATTAATCTTAATATCAAAATTTTATCCAAGAAAGTTTATGGAATGGTTAATTAGGCTGAGTATAGATGCGGATCCAAGATTTTGAAAAGGGGGGCCCAACTAGACAACTTTTGGAGTGAAACAGGTAAAAAGTCAGAATTAACCATAAATCCATAAAATAGCTCCATAAAGATGGACCTGGGCCCTCATGTTGAATTTGAAATAAATTGGAATAAAAAAAATATATAAATCCTGAGAGAAACAAATGTTTCGCATCTTTGTCAATCTGATAAATACCAAAACTCTCACTCTACTAAATTACTATGTGTGTTGTGCCATGGGAGAACTGAAAACACCCATGGTGCAACATCCAAAATAATAAAGCAGAGTGAGAGATTTGATTTATTCAGATTGCATCATTGTAACCATGAAATGGACCGTCTTCAGGTAGAAATTATTCATCATGTTGCATTTAATACCATTTATCCAGGAATCAGCCAACTTTTGTGCAAATAAAGGGTATACTAATGAATATTTTTCTTTATTTGTAATTATACGATTAATTCTTGAGCTAAGGACAATGTTAATATTACTATTTACATAATTGTTCATTTTTGAATCTCCTCTGCAGTCTACGTTTCACCTTGTTGATATCTTTTAAAATCAAAACATTAATTTGAAATTAAAAAACTAAACATAAAAGTGCCTGGGTTAAATTCCAGGATAAAACCATTATATGTTCATTCTTGGAAAATAAGATTCATATGTACTCACTACGAACCTTGCTTTTTGCCCTGTTTCTAAAAGCTTGTGCAAATAAATTTTATATTTCCAGACAATGTTCTTATATTGTATACATAAAAATTGCAGTATCACCATTTTCAAAGTTTTTTGCTTTTAGTCATGCATCTCAGCGTTTATGTTATGTTATTTCTTTATTTCAGAGTGATACAGTTAGATGTAAAGAATGTTATCAGTGTTTTATGTCACATGTTAGAAAATGGACATTTCCAGTCTAAAATAGCTGTTCTTGATTGGATTAATCATTTACTACAAAAAGTTCCAAATAAAGTAAGCTTTTCAAGTATTACTGTAAGTTCAGAAATTATTGTGAGGGTTTTATTAATGCAAATAATGTGACTGGGTGAGTATGGCAATAATAAGAACTCGCATTCTGATATATGTATACAGATTTTTCTGAAATCGCAATAATTCATCTCACATTTTTGTCCATTCTTAAAAAATCTAAATAATTTCTTCATTTGCAGTGCTGTAAATTCAGTAATTATTTTGAGGTTTTTATTAAAGCCAATAATGCGACTAGGTGAGTATCGCAATACATTGTAATAAGAACTCGCATTCTGATATCTGTTACATATATCTGTATGCGGATTTTTTTCTGAAATCGCAATAAAAAATATCACACTTTTGTCAATTCTTAAAAAATCACAATATAAAATTAACACAATAATTTCTGAATTTACTGTATCTGAAATTTATATTACCAGTACAATAGCATTACAACATTCAATTCTTTCAATTAGTAGTACAAATGTATATAACTATTCTTAGAGTAAGCTTATGGTCATACCATAACGGTTTGTATTCCAATAACTCCTACATATTTTCTTGCAAGGTTTATAGCAGTTGTTTGAACAGTAAGTTTCAGATAATTCATTCTGTTTACATAATTTCAGACATTCCTGAATATGGATGTTTTATTCCCTGCCCTGCTTAGATGTTTGACAGATGAATCTGAGGAGGTAATTTTAACATTTAGAATCATTTTCACAAATGTTTTATATAATCGCACCTGCAAAGCTATGAATTGTCATAAAACAAAATCAACAAACAACAAGGTAGCTGATTTATTCTGCATGACTGATTTTATTTCTATAGTAATATAGAATTCAAACAGTTTGATCATTCATTAGATGAATACAGGTTATTGTCAACTTTGCCCTCAAATTTCTTTTAGTTATGGCATAATGGAAATTATTGTGAAAGACTGTATTATATCAAAAATATATATTATTTTGAGACCTTGAGTAGGAACAAATACAAAGGCATCAAAGACAACCTGCATTTTGATTACAAATAGATGTATTTACACCTGTATGCAAATTTGTCCGCCATTACGTAAAATCACACAGGTTTCCGTAAACTTTGACATCATAATTCAAAACATTTGACGTCACAATTAAAAAGTTATTGTTGCCTGACGTCAAAAGGTGATTCGGAGTAGATCTAAGGTCATTCGGAGGCAAAATATAGCTAAATACCAAAAGTGTAAATACGTTTATTGATACATGTATAAAAAACTTAAAGCAGATCACATAATTTCCTACAATTTGACAACAGAACAAAAGGGTTGATTAATTTACATCTGTTAATGCTACAAATTAAACTATAGAAAAATAAAAATTAAAAAGCAAATATGGTGGATTCTTTATTATTCGTGGGATACCAATTTCGTTGATTTTGTGGGTAAAGGTGAATTCAAATGTTCAAAGGAGTACAAAATTTTTACAAGCTTGTATGCAAACTTTTGCAAAACCAAGAAATCAAATATCCAAAAAAATACAATCTTTCGTATATCCACAAAATTGGTACCAACCAAAATATAATTTTTCTCAATCCACACAAATTGGTACCACAAAAAAAATAAATGAATCCACAATATAGTGAATCTATTTAACATATATTACTAAAGTTTTATAAAATAACAATGTATAAATAACACTTAGATAAGCACTGCAGTTTAAGAAATTGTATGTTAATGTTTATATCATTCTGCTTAGAATTCACCAAATCTATATTGTGGGTTTGCGACTTAGCAAAAGATATTAAGTTTGACCTGGAGTCAACAATTAGTCGTAATGTTTTGGCTTAACGTTATTTAGATAAACTCAACTTTAAATGTAAAATCCTTAAACATCTTGTTCATTTAGTTTGACTGTTAATTTTTTAACATGCCTTATTACCTATTTAGTATACCAAATTTTGAATGGCACAGTTACAGAAAAAATAAGGTTGTCTCCTAAGTAGGGAGACAAGCGCCTTACATGTATTGTATAGACCACAAGGGTCTCTTCCGTCCTTATCTAGGGGAGTGCTAACCTTCTCTCCTTTCTTACAACACATTTTATTGGTGAAGTGAACTCTTTATGTACTGACACTTTTGAATGGATTTTACAATTGTTGGTTTCATAAAAAAGAAACAGCTGCAAACTTTGGTCTTAATGTAATTAAGTTATGCATTGATTGCAATGATATATGTATTTACAGTTAAGTTTTGATTTGGGAATTGAAAATAATATTTATAATCATGCAAACAACATTTTACATTGAATTTTTAAAATGAGCAAAATCAAGGGAGGTAACTAAAATTCTCCTATGTCTTGTGAATACATTTTTTGTTAAAATTGTATGTTTTCAGTTTTTGTTAAGCTATAAAATATAAAAGAAAAGGTTTTCTTTTGAACCCCTCTTATTGATGGAATAAGCATAGGCATATATGAAGGAGGGATTCAAAAGGAAGTCTTGCCCAATAAGATAAAGCAAAAATCACTGATACAGTTTATATAATATTATAACAAATTATGCACCAATTTGAAAATCATTGTATTTTTTTTAACATTTTGAAAGTTATTATTATTATTATTATTATTATTATTATTATTATTATACCCCTGCAAATACCCCTGGATCCAAAGTTTTGGGGGTATGAAGAAATCCCTGTCTGTCTGGCCATTCTTGTAAGCACTCCTCCTTATGGGCTGAATGTATCGATGATTCTCTACACAGCTGTAGAATGCAACCTGAGGATGTGCATTATGGAATATAATTTCGATCCTGCGCGTAAAAGGGGAGGTAATTCAACTTTCTAATTACTTCAATATTGTCATATGTGGTAATATTCTCTCCTAATGTTAGGATAAGTCATATTCTTCATTTTGGATTATAAGATATTTCTATTTGCAGAATAACTTATGAAAATATAAGAGATTATGATTTTACAATGTAATGAATTTTGATAGTATGGGATGTATTGTCTAAACAACTTTCAAGATCTTATAGTTGTATAAACTATATTTAGTTTATTTTTTATTGGGATTTGATAGAGACGCATGCTTTTTATCTTCCTTCCCTAAAAAATGAAGGCATTCTCTTTGATAGAAACATTTATTGTTTTGTTTTAAAGTTATATAAATTGACCTTCACGAGCACATGTGTTCATTGCCTGTTTTTGGTTAGGTACCTAAAATCTCTAAAGTTTTCTGGACTTTGGTTTTTCTTCTCGTCGTTTTTTTTCTTTGTCTTGATTTCGTCTTTTTAATTTGACTTTTTTAAAGTACACACAACCATTTACTTGACCTGATAGCTGGTACTATTTTGTTACTTACAAGAGATTTATACAAAATGTTTTTTATTGCCCACAAGGTATCTTCTCCCCCTATTGTACTTTGATAAAAAGAATTGTCATAGAATTTAATGGAAATAAAATAGAAAAAAATACTCTTATGTTCAGTGATTTATTTATTACAGTAATGAAGAAATAAGAATATGAATTTCTTACTTTAGGTTGTATTATTAGATTTAGAAGCATTAGCTGAGATTTCCTCAAATCCTGCAGGTCAAATAACACAAGACCTACAGATGGCAGTAGAGAAACCACCAAGGGAGTTAACCCCTGATAGGAAAGATAAGAAGGACAAAGAGGGTAAAAAACGTCCTTCTGATCCAAGACAATCTGCTGTTAGAAAAGGAGATAATTTATCTAAATTGCCAAAAGCAAAATTAACTGTTGAATATGAATCTAAACATGGACTAAATGCGTATTTTACGAAGTTCATGGTCAGTCTGTTGGACATGTTTAAAGTAGATCAACAGTCTACAGAACCAAAGGAAAGAGAATATTTTATCATCCGGTTAGTACACACATCACAAACACTTTCTTAGCTTTTAATGCCAACCATACAGTTAAAATCCATCACTTCAAGTACTTAATCATATGTTTGTTTTACATTCCATAAAAATTTAACTGGTTACAGAATTTTTATTCTTTTTTCATTTTGATTTAGTGCTATGAAATTTGTCTATCTTAAGTGCAAAATTTAGGTTTTCAGATGATATCTCTTGAACCTTATGCCAACCTTCACTTATCTTTTCTAGAAATACCCCTATTGGTTTTTTGGTCAGTAGGAAGGTTAAAGGTTAAGGACACATTGACTATAAATAGAGTGTTTAAGTAAATGTTTGTGTCTGTACTCTGGACAATATATCCAGCTCTAGATCAACTGTCACCAATATTTGGTGAAGAATACACCTTGGGGCAAAAAAGTCCTTATCAAATTGAGTTCACTTAGTCATAGGTCAAGTTTTCAGCAGAAACTAACAGGTTGAAATTTAGACATTTGTATTTTGTTTTTCATCATTTGACATACTAGCAAATTGTTAGCAGAATTGCAGTTGCCATAAGCAACCCCCTCCCCCACCCCCCAAAAAAATCAAAACAAAATCCAGTACCTTACAGAAAAATCTTTCTACTGCAAATTAAAATATGGTTGTAGCTTGGCTAATGTTCCCATGGTGCTTCTGTTGTTTTTTTTAGGTCTTTTACTTTGGACCAGTATACTGCTATAAATTTACATATTATGTTCCTTTTTATTTCTATTTTTTAGACAATTGTCCCATTTACTGAATGCAGAAGATATTTTCCAGTCATTTTCTAAAATCCTTGTTATAGAGGAAGATTTAGACTTTGCCAAGAAGATGGTCCAAACACTAAACACAATACTATTAACCTCAACTGAATTATTTGGTTTGAGAAGCCAACTGAAAACTTTAAATTCTCAGGTAAATGTTTTTCAAATTTTTCTTGTGAGGCTTTATTCTACTATCTGCAAATGTTTATGAACAAACTTGCATGTGTCTCAACACTGTGAATGTATGTCAAAAAAGACTTTTTCTTCCAACTTTTGCAATTATTCACAACCAAACTTTAATTGTAAGAGGAGATATGGTGTAAATTTCATTGAATCATCAACCCAGCTTCACAATTTAACCTAAAAAGACATTAAATGCATTTCTTTATGGACAAATACGGTATGGTATATTCATTCATTGTCTTAGAATGTAAAATTTTATTGGTACAAGGCTTTGAACCAGAGACAGACCTCTGAAGCTTGCAAACCATTTCTATTCCAAGTACTGATATAATTTATGTCTTAGAGTAAGACAAAACTGTAAGGCAACATAATTTCGTGGATACATTATTTTGGCATTTAGTCGATATTCACAGTTTTTCACTTTGTGGATGTAGTGATATAAGAGATTATCGCTATTTTATGCTTTTTTCCTTTGATCTTTTTTTGGTGATAATTTTTCATATCATGCTACTCGCTTGAGATGGAAATTATCGTCAGAAACTAAGGGTGCACGTGACGTTGTTAATGTAAACATGATCGACCTAATAGGCAAAATAGTTTGGCATATTTGTGATCTTTGATATTATATACTGGGTACATTAAAGTCATGAATAATATTTGATTGGCAGTATATGGTCATATTCAGAGCAATGGTATATTGTGTTAGAAATATTTTATTTTTAACAAGAAGCAGACACCAAACAAGAAAATTTCAACTTTTAACATAATAAGTAAAATTCAAAAGTAAAACATTGTGAACGTCACAAACAAGGCATTATCAGATCAGTAACTTTTTATTAAATATGTATACAGGCAAATACACTTTGGCTGTGCAAATGGATTGTTTGCAGAAATCAAAAGTTAAAAAGGAGCAGAATAAGAACATGTTAAAATTCATGACATTTATTATACATTTGTAAAACCTTATTTTAGAAAATGTATCTATATACATAGTATTTTTTTTATATTTTACTTGTGAACATAATATGCAATATGTTGTAGGTATCTTCATCTGACATTGATTATATTTTTTTTATATTTCCTGAATATTATGGTGATTTGAATCTAGCAAACACTGATAGAAAAATGAATTTATTCAAAACAACAAATTAAACATACAACATACTAAACTAGTTTGTCTTATTCATTTCAGCATGGAATAGTTTGAAAGAAGTATGTGCTATAAATTCTTTTTCTTTTGTATTTTTCCAGTGTGGTTTTTGACTATGTGTCACTTTTACTGTTTCCCGTAGCAGCATTTTAACTACATTTCTTGTAACCAAACTACATTCAATTATTCTGTCTTTTGTATTCGTTGTTTTTATGCCCCATGCTGTAGCTGTGGGGGCATTAAGTTTTACCCTTGTCCGTCTGTACGTACGTACGTACGTCCGTCTGTACGTCCCAAAATTGGTTTCCGTTCTCTAACTTGAGTTTGCCTCAACCAAATGTTATGAAACTTATACACAATGCTTATAACCACAAAACACAGATCAAGTTTGAATTTTGGTGGCGTCACTTTAACCGTTCTAGAGTTATGCCCCTTTATAAATGGAAAAATTGCAAAATTTTTAGTTTCCGTCCTCTAACTTAAGTTTGCCTCTACCAAATGTTATGAAACTTATATACAATGCTTATTATCACAAAACACAGATCAAGTTTGAATTTTGGTGGCGTCACTTTAACCTTTCTAGAGTTATGCCCCTTTATAAATGGAAAAAATTGCAAAATTTTTATTTTCTTCTAAATATCAAGTTATTTTTAAAATTGGAGTTATCTTCCTTTGTCCATGATTATAGTTGAATCAACTACAATCAATGCTGTATACAATGCAATGTTTAATTTTGACTTCCACTGATAAAACACAGATCAAGTTGAATTTGGGTAGTGTCACTTTAACCATTATTGAGTTATGCCCCTTTATAAATAGAAAAATTGCTGAATTTTTAGTTTCTGTTCTCTACTAAAGTTAGCCTCAACCAAATGTTATGAGACTTACACACAACTCAGATCAAGTTCAAATTTGGGTAGCGTCACTTTTACTGTTCTTCAGTTATGTCCCTTTATAACTATATGATATGCAAGCGGGGGCATCATCTGTGTCCACATGTGGACACTATCCACATTTATTTCACTACATTATATATTTGTAACTTAGCAACAGTATTAATGTGTTTCCTATCCAATAATAGTTGTGAAAAATTTCATTATTTATTAACAGGATAGCTGTTCACTATTTTGTAACCTGTATATGTCATGGTGTCACAGTCCCATAGCAACAGTCTCACTGTGTTTCCTGTCACAGAACTACAGTCATGCCTGTCAACTGCTACAGACATTGTATCCTCTGCTGCTTAAAAAAAATGTTGCATCATTCTGAATACATGTATTTATGAAATATTGCCACAGGGTGTTAAGCAAGCAAGTTATGAAATATTGCCACAGGGTGTTAAGCAAGCAAGTTATGAAATATTGCCACAGGATGTTAAGCAAACAAGTTATGAAATATTGCCATAGAATGCTAAGCGAACAAGTTATGAAATATTGCAACAGGATGTTAAGTGAGCAAGTTATGAAATATTGCCACAGGATGTTAAGGTTGCACTTTGTAAATACAGCTGTTTCTCAAACCACACCTCTTTTGGGGAGATATATAATATTCATAGATATGTTAATTTGTTAATGTACTGGTTCCCATTTATGATCTCTGTGTTTCATCTCATAGAGACATCACATGGGAATGTAACCAGTATAGAAAAACATGGTAGCGCCTAAATTTTAATTCTTAAGAGGTCCAAATATGAAGGTAAGGGTAGTATAGAATTTTAGTATAAGTTTAAACTCTTAGAAGTTCAGGGCATATAAATGTTGAAAATATGCCGCACAGCCCTATATTTTGACCTTTGAATAAAATAGTAGTGCATATAAACTTTCCGTTCTGGGATATTATTTTTCACGAAACTTCATAGTAAAAGTGTCACAGTTTTTGCCGCAAAGGGAGTTCCTATGGGAAATTGCATTGTCTATATTTACAGAATTGCAACCTATATAGGGTTAAAAAATAGAACATACAGAATTTCACAAAATCTGGTTTATCACAGAGATTTTAAAGAATTTAACTCAAATATGAAGTTTTATAAATATTTCATGAAGATTGAGAAAATCCTGAGCCTTAACTATGATGACTCAGCATAAATTCACAGTTTACAGTATGCATGGTTTACTTAAAGCCCTGAATTCAAAATAAATTCATAATATATGCCTATTTGTGATTTAAATTGTTAAGAAGTGCTTTTATTTACTCTTCGCAGTCATTGCAACTCATTGATCCTTCCTAAATATTATTGGTGGGGTGTTTTTGTCCTGTTGATAACCCAAAAGTAAGCCATAACACCTAAATGTGTTTTTTTGTGACCGCGGCATTAAAAAGTACAAGCTAGAATTACAAAAAGACCTCAATAAAACTTACAATAGTGTGTTCTATCCTAAATATATACTAAATATTCCACATTGCTAGAAACAGGGAAAATATTTAGGAAATTTGAGGCCCCAGGGGGCAAAAAACAGAAAAAAATGCCTACCCTGGGTCATAAAACAGATAATTTAACTTGTAAATGCTATGATTTTATTATTTTCAAGGTCTTTTGTAAACAAAACAATAACTGTGCTGGAAAGTTATGCAAAAATAAGATGTAAGCAGTCATTTCTATCAAACTTTTAGTGAATTTATGCACCAGACTGATATCTTCTTAAATACAATTTTTCAAATATGGCTTTGTTTAGACACTTCTAGTTCATACATTAACTAACTTATGTTAGTTATATGGTTAGAGATGACACTGTTGTGACAAGAATTCTTAACTGACCATTTGAGACAGAAATTGTGAACTTTCATTGACAAATAGGCATACAGTAAGATGTGGACTGGAGACACAGGCAGGATTGGATACTTTGTACAATCTTGAATGTTGGAATGATTAACTACTAAACAATGCATTTATAGTATTCTAAAATGCTTTCAATTTGTTATCATAATAGTTTCAAACATGTTTTAGACATTTCATGTCAGAAAACATGCACATAGGGTAAGCTGGCAATGATTAAAGTCTTGTTTTCAAATTCTTTAAAAAATTGAAACAGGGGTAGGGGTATAAAATGTACTGTAAAAGGAAACTTAGAGTATATGCAGTGATTTCCTTAAGGCTATAATTCTGATAAATAAGTATAGTTGTGAGAAAAAGTGTTTTTAGAAGGTTTTCTATTTGAATAAATGTTTGTATAGGTTGCACTTTGTAAATACAGCTGTTTCTCAATCACGCCTCTTTTGGGGAGATATATAATATTCATAGATATGTTAATTTGTTAATGTACTGGTTCCCATTTATGATCTCTGTGTTTCATCTCATAGAGACATCACATGGGAATGTAACCAGTATAGAAAAACATGGTAGCGCCTAAATTTTAATTCTTAGGAGGTCCAAATATGAAGCTAAGGGTAGTATAGAATTTTAGTATAAGTTTAAACTCTTAGAAGTTCAGGGCATATAAATGTTGAAAATATGCCGCACAGCCCTATATTTTGACCTTTGAATAAAATAGTAGTGCATATAAACTTTCCGTTCTGGGATATTATTTTTCACGAAACTTCATAGTAAAAGTGTCACAGTTTTTGCCGCAAAGGGAGTTCCTATGGGAAATTGCATTGTCTATATTTACAGAATTGCAACCTATAGTGAGCAAGTTATGAAATATTGCCACAGGATGTTAAGTGAGCAAGTTATGAAATATTGCCACAGGATGTTAAGCGAGCAAGTTATGAAATATTGCCACAGGATGTTAAGCGAGCAAGTTATGAAATATTGCCACAGGGTGTTAAGCGAGCAAGTTATGAAATATTGTCACAGGATGTTAAGTGATCAAGGTTTAGTTGACTTTTACTTGTACTGAATTGATTAATGGTTGTAAGAATATGAGTGTTTATTCTGTAGCAGTGTGAGGTGAAAGTCACATTATTTCTTCAACAAGCACCATGCTTTTATCTCCCCATTGCAAAGTTTCTTTTCCAGCAAGCGGATATTTCATGTTGGGCATGTTAAAAAGTCTGAAATAGCAATAAACTTTGAATAAAGTATGCGTTTTAACCATATTTACCACTGGCAATCTTTTTCACTATTGCCAAGAACTGCAAATGATGAACAAAATAATTTAATTTTGAACTAATTATTTAGAAAAAAATATATGAGAATTAAGTTAAACTTTATTATACATGATTCAAAGTATAAACAATGAAAAGTAAATTTTATATGTACTTTGTATCGCTATTATAAATTCTAAAAATTATTTAATAAACTGTACATCCTTGAAACATTCTAATGATAAGTTTCTCTTTCAAATAATTTGCCTAATTATGTACCTCTTACTTTTATATCGTAACTGTGATTTTTTTACAAATATTATTTTCCTTCACTCTGTCTTTAGTGGTGATTTAGAAGTTACTGTAGATTTCCTCAAAGAAATTGATAAGCTTGTTCAGCTGATAGAGTCTCCTATATTTGCATGTAAGTAAAATATTTACAATTTTACATTGGTCAGTATCAAGGTGAAAGAGACCATAGTTTAATGTATCTTAAAGTCAGGTGTCAATAGAAATAAATTGATCAAATTACAACAAAACCTCTTTTGTATAAGGAAATTTGCCAGTTTTAAAAGTTTAATTTTACATAGATTTTCCAATGCAGTCATCTGCTTTGAAATGATGAAAAATGATACATTGCTTGATTATACAAATATGACTATTTCATTAGTGTGTCCCACTGAAATAAGGTAATGATTTAAAGTGTGTCAACAAAGGCGAAAGTAGGTCTAGTAACTGCTCGACTTCGTCCGTCCATACGTCCAATCTTATGCATTTAAGCCAGATATATATATATATATATATATATATTATTGATAATCAATTATGCAATTGTATATTTTATAAACACTGATGTATGTGGCATGCTTTTTGCTGTCTATACTACATGCATATTTTGTTAGTTATTATGAAATTTCAATCTTTCACACTTACTTTATGTTGTATAAATCTATATATTATGGTACAAAAGGTTTACAAGGTATGTACAACTTGCCTAGAATATTTCGTCAAACTTTTCTTGACTTCTATGAAAGAGAACGATTTTATATTTGGTCTGCAGCTTCATTATGTTCAGATGCAGCCACTTCCTGTTTGCTGATAGTTTGAAATTTTACAACACTCAGTGCACAAGGAAGATTTCGGTCAAACTTCTCTGGGCTTCTATGAAAGGGAATGGTTTTATATTTGGTCTGCATTATGTTGAGTTGCATATGGAAAGTTAGTTTTACACCTGCATTGCATCCACTTCTTGTTTGCTAATATTTTGAAATTAAGAAATATTTTCCTCATTATTTTCTTGCCTTCTATGAAAGGAAATGATTAAATATTTGGTGGGCAGCTTGATAATGACGAGTTATAGCTAGTAAGCATTTTTTACATCTGCATTGCTGCTACTTCCTGTTTGACCTCATTGCATGAGGAAAATTCTCTTCATAAGTTTTCTTGGCTTCAATGAAAGAGAATGATCAGTTATGCTTCAGTATGTAATCTCAATCAGTTGTATGCAGAGACGCAGGTCCAGATCCTGTATTGGTTTTAAAAGTCATTATTTTAATGCATTTATCCTTAAGTTTCAAAATTCTGTAATATAGTTCAAATGATGCAGAAAACCTCAAAATTTAAAAATACAACTTAAATTGGCATATCTTCAATGCCATCTATGTTTGTATTGATGCCATTTGTTTCTACAAAAACAAGAAAACTGAAAAGGGGAAGAATAAAACCTGTTTTAACAAAGTTAACAGAAAGTTTTATACTATCAAATTGAATAAAATATAAATATAGAGGGTACACTATAATGTTTTGCCCCTGTTTGGTGCTAGAATATATATTTTGTTCACTTGCATGTAACATTTTGCAATGGCTGTTCAAGAACTCATTCTTTCTTGTCTACTCTACAAATGATGTGCATTATGGCCACAGTTCAATATATGAAACAAAGTACACATGAAAGGAAAGTAATGCTGTGAAGAACAGAAAAATTTACCACCACACCTTTAAGGTGAAATCCATTGCTGTGAAAATATATCACAGGATTATCTTGAAAGTATTGTTAAGTATATCTTTTTTATACAATTGAGTTTTCATTTTTATTTCTTTCCAGATCTACGTTTACAATTATTAGATGTTCAGAATAATCAAGATTTAATCAAGAGTTTATATGGACTATTAATGTTGTTGCCACAATCAGAGGCATTTAAATTGTTAAGATATCGACTGGACTGTATACCACATTATCAGCTAGCCTTAATGAATGACAGGTAAGCTTGGTCCGAAAATAGTGAGCTAATCTTGATGAATGACGGGTAAGCTTGGTCCGAAAATAGAAAGCTAATCTTGATGAATGACGGGTAAGCTTGGTCCGAAAATAGTGAGCTAATCTTGATGAATGATGGGTAAGCTTGGTCCAAAAATAGTGAGCTAATCTTGATGAATGACAGGTAAGCTTGGTTAGAAAAAAGTCAGCTAGTCTTAATAAATGACAAGTAAGCTTGGTCAGAAAATAGTTTGCTAGTCTTGATGAATGACAGGTAAGCTTGATCAGAAAATAGTCAATTAGGGGTAATGTAAATGTATGTATCCACTGTTTAAGTTCATTATTCAAATTTTTATTACGTACAGTGAAAACCTTCAAACTATTTTTGAAAGGCAGGGTAATAAAAATTTTTTTTTTTTGCTTTTTTATGCCCCCGCCATAGCGGAGGGGGCATTAAGTTTTACCCTTGTCCGTCTGTATGTCCGTACGTACGTCCCAAAGTTGGTTTCCGTTCTCTAACTTTAGTTTGCCTCAACCAAATGTTATGAAACTTGTACACAATGCTTATTTATTACCACAAAACACAGATCGAGTTTGAATTTCGGCTGCATCACTTAAACCATTATAGAGTTATGCCCCTTTACAAATGGAAAAATTGCTGAATTTTTCGTTTCCGTTCTCTAACTTTAGTTTGCCTCAACTAAATATTATGTAAATTATACATATAGCTTATTACCACAAAACACAGATCAAGTTTGAATTTCAGTTGCCTCACTTTAACCGTTCTAGAGTTATGCCCCTTTACATATGGAAAAATTGGTGAATTTTTGGTTTCCATTCTCTAACTTTAGTTTGCCTCAACCAAATGTTATGAAACTAATATACACTATGCTTATTACCACAAAACACAGATCGAGTTTGAATTTCGGTTGCATCACGTCTACTGTTCTTGAGTTATGCCCCTTTACAAATGGAAAAATTGGTGAATTTTTCATTTCTGTTCTCTTACTTTAGTTTGCCTCTACCAAATGTTATGAAACTTATTCACAATGCTTATTACCACAAAACACAGATTGAGTTTGAATTTCGTTGGCGTCACGTCTCCCGTTCTAGAGTAATGCTCCTTTACAAATGGAAAAATTGCAAAACTTCTCATTTCCGTTCTCTTACTTTAGTTTGCCTCAATCAAATGTTATGAAACTTATTCACTATGCTTATTACCACAAAACACAGATTGAGTTTGAATTTTGTTGGCGTCACATCTACCGTTCTAAATTTATGCCCCTTTACAAATGGAAAAATTGCTGAATTTATCATTTCCGTTCTCTTACTTAAGTTTGCCTCAACCAAATGTTATGAAACTTATACACAATGCTTGTTACAAGGAAACTCAGATCAAGTACAAATTTAGGTAGCGTCACTATTACTGTTCTTGTGTTATGTCCCATTATAACGTTGTATGCAAGCGGGGGCATCATCTGTGTCCTGGGGACACATTCCCCATTTATTTTCATTGATATTTCAAAAAGGCTTTAGGCACATTTTACAGGGAGTCAAACAAGTACAGACTGGATAGGGGAATCCTGGCTTAATATTTTACAGGGAGTCAAACAAGTACAGACTGGATAGCTGTAGCAGAGGGGGCATTAAGTTTGACCCTTGTCTGTCTGAACGTCAGTACGTCCCAAAATTGGTTTCTGTTCTTTAATTTTAGTTTGCCTCAACCAAATGTTATGAAACTTATACTCAATGCTAATTAACACAAAACACAGATCAAGTTCAAATTTTGGTTGCGTCACTTTTACCGTTCTAGAGTTATGCCCCTTTACAAATGGAAAAATTGCTGAATTTTTGTTTCCGATCTCTAACTTTAGTTTGCCTCAACCAAATATTTTGAAACTTATATACAATGCTTATTACCACAAAACTTAGATCAAGTACAAATTTGGGAAGAAACACTTCTACCGTTCTTGGGTTATGTCCCTTTATAATGTTATATGCTAGTGGGGGCACATTCCCCTTTTATTTGTAATGGAATCAATCCCCCAAAAAAATTCTGATACATTTGAAATGAATGTGTTTGAAAAAAAATTTCTACACCAACATTTATACACACACAAAAGGAAAGGGAGCACCCTTGTATATTTTTTAGAGGATTCCAAATGGAATTTCAGTGTGTTTTGTTAGCAAAAAAATATAAATCATGCAAATAAAGAAAACTACTACTATTACTGCAGAAAAATAAATAAACATAATGTAAACATAATGTTCTGTTGTGGGTACAACAACCTTAATGCACCTTTGGTAAATAAAATATTTAGGAACCTATCGTTTGGACTCGCTTATGGCTTAAATCTAGACTACTTTCTGAAAAATGGTAGACAGCAAAAAGTGTAGGCAAGCGATCAATTTTTTTGTAACCACAAATATGTGTAATCATATATATGCATCTCAGTGCTATTATTATATAAACTAGTACATTGATCTTTCTAACAATGGAAAGCTGCTCCAAATTTTTGTCAGATGTAATCTCAGTTATTTCTTACTAAGTAGATTCTGCATATAGATCCTAATGAAGAGGGTATTGTTCAGTCATGACGAAATGTATTACGATTTTCCTGGTCCTCTTACACTAACCTGAATTACAGAAGGTTAAATCATTAATTTTAAACAAGCAGGTTTGAAGTATTTCCTGTCATTATGGGGTCATGTGACTTTTATCACTGAAGTGACTTCCTGTCACAAAACTAAGTCACATTATTCAAAATGATTTGTAATTAGTCATATTTATATTGTTAACTTAAAAAAAATGTTACAGTGAATTTACATATTTAAAGTAAGCTTGTACAATGATTTTGGTTTATCATGAACCTTTTACTAACATTAAGTAGCACACATCTTTGAGACTTACAATTCAAGGTATTGTAGTATGCTTGGTGTCTCTTTTTTGTATATTTTTAAAAATGTTTCCAAGTTTTAAATTCTTCTTCTAACCACAGGCTGACAAGAACTGATTAAATGTGCACAAAATTAGTGCAAGATGTGTGTGTTTTCATCAATTAGAGATTTTTGGTGGGATTAAATGTTTATTTTTATTTTTAAGGATGACCTGCACAGTCAACCATAATGGCAGCTGAATCATGTGAAATGTGAAACTTAGTACAAAATATCCATATTTTGTTCAATTACATTTAGAAACATTTAAAAGAATTCTAGATAGCATCTCTAGCCTTTAATAGTAGTGCTCTGTCTAGAATGATCCATTTTCTAGTATATGTCTATATGATACCTATACTAAGAATAAGACAGGAGTATACATATAAATCCATTTCATAGGTTAGATTTAGTATAGTGTTGACTTTCATGTCACAGAAACCAATGACAGTACCATTGAAATCTCTGAAATATTCTATTGACTGGCAATACAACCTTTGTGTGTTTTGAGGGGGTATGCAAGTGACTCCCACTATTTCATCATGAAGTTCAACTGTTTTACTAATTCCTTTCAAATTTTAGTATGTTGTTACTATTGACAAAATGAAGGTTAAGTTATATAGTGATGATTTCCCTTTACTTTTGCCATTCAGGAAATGTGGTTCTTCATTTGATTGGAAAAAATGATATCTGTTATTTCCTTGCAATAACTTTAAGTAGCTCACATCTTTTAGACTTGCAATTCAATCTAATATTGTATGCTTGATGTCTCTTGTTTGTATATTTAAAATATGTTCCCAAGTCTAAAATTCTTTTTTCTCTAAACCACAGGCTGACAAGAACTTATTAAACATGGACTAAATTTGTGGAAGTTTTGTGTTTTTTGATCAATTAGAGATTTTTGATGGGTTTGAATGGTTATTTTTGTTTTTATTTTAAAGGATGACCTGCTCTGCCACCCATAATGACAGCTGCAATGTAAATAAATCATGTGAAATGTAAAATTCATTTCAAAATATCCATATTATTTTCTATTAGAAGAAGAAACATTTAAAATGGTGGATATTTTTGTTTAGCGTTTTTTTAGTAGTGCTCCATCTAGAATGATAAATTGCCTATATATAAATGTACTGCCTATGCTAAGAATAAGACTGGAGCATCCATATAAACACATGTCGGTCATGGGTTAACTTGATATTGTGTTGAGGTCCATAACTCTGAAACCCATGATACTATATTAATATTTTACCATAACAAATACCTGATATATTATATTGACTGGCAATGTTTACCTTTAGCTACCTTTTATGGTAGATTGACTTTGATATTGTTTTAAAATTAGATTCTCAGATTAGTATATCAGTGATAGTCACAACTTTAGTTTGCTTTAAAGGTATAGAAAAACATCAGTGACATTTTGGTCATTATGACCTATATTATACTGTTGAGCGATCTTGATAAAGCTTTGCAATTAGCTCTGTATTTCAGAAACATTAAGTAGAATGTCAATGATATTACACTCCTATTATTCTCTGATATAAATTATAGTAAAAAAACAGTTCCAATACATTTTGGTAACCATGACTTACATTTTATGATTGAGTAACTTTGGCTATGTTTGACTGACCATTCCTTTCTCATACATGATTAGGAAGTTTTTGAAATTTTAAAATAAGAATAAAGATATTGGAAAATTTTTACTAGTGCCATTATTTGTGTTGTGTTTATTGGGAACATAAATTCTACATATTGCCCTTTGAAAAATCATTCTACAGAAAAAAGGTCTGTTAAGGTTTGCAGTGTAAAATAAATTAATAATTGTCAGTAGATGATAGACAGCATCAAATGAAAATTATTAATCTCATTGTGTACCTAGCAAAATGCTTATCAAACAACAGGTTGACAAAATGGATTTGTTTCTTTTTGTGGTGTGTAAGATATAACAGAGATTGTCTATTTTTTTACATTGTAAATTTAAAAACCAGGACAAAGCATGTGGTTTTTAAACAAATTTATTCACAATAATTCAGTGCATTGAAAGTGTAGCGGTTTCTTTGTTGAAACAATTTG